CACTCACTCAGCTCAAGAATAGTAATGAAATCAAATACAATCAATACATATAGTTCTGAAGAATGAGTACTTTCAATTTATCAATTCTTGAACATATTATAATTAAATGCACAGTAGCAAATACGCCATTTCCCACTAGTATCTCCCCTCAAAGCGGAAATGTGTATAGCTATTAACAATGGAAAATGAATATTCAACTAAAATGCTGATATGATGAATGATTGAAATTCTATTAATTGGACAATCACATCAAAGTACATGTTATACTGCCCAGTCATTCTAATGATCCCTTCAGTACAACAGTGATTCACATATGGTTAACAAGCTCCCATTTAGCTGAGTGTGTCATACCACAAACAACCTGTTTAGAGACTCGTATAACATCACTGTCAAGTTCAAAGTGAACTACATGTAGGCCTTGACAGTGGTGGGCAACACAGCATGGGATTTGTATTATAATTGCACTTTGTAATCTCAACTTGATTCTGTTTATTTCCTGTACTTTACTGGAGCTTATAAAAAGACCAAGTAATGATCACCAGTATCATACATGACTTAGCTACTCAACTTTTGAATTAAGATGGTCTGACTGGCTTGTGGGAGATAGGTCTCCTGAGTTGGTCTACCCGTGAAGATCCGGGTTAGAATTGGTCTTCACGATTGTCGTAAGAGGTGACTAACAGGATCGGGTGGTTAGGCTCGCTGACTTCATTGACACATGTCATCGTATCCCACATTGTGTAGATCGATGCTCATGCTGTTGATCACTGTATTGTTAGGTCTAGACTGTATTATTTACAGATCACTGCCATATAGCTGGAATATTGCTCTGTGAGGCGTTCAGCAACAAACCAAACAACCAATCTGATTTTGTTGACACCAGAATAAGACAGAAATTGGTGACATACATGCAAGTGAAACAGGAAAAATAGTTGAAAAGGAATGTTTTGAGTTAATTTACCTGTGAGCATAATTAAAATATTACAGTTGATATGAACCTTTATGACATCAGCAAACAATGTTTTCCTATGATGGTGTTAATGATCCTTAGTTTGAAACAAAGGTGTCACAAAAGACATCTTTCTACATTAATCACTAAAAATAATACAGTTCTGAACATTCATCTAATATCAGTGAAAAGGTCCAACGTTTATCTATTGTCTTGTCAAATTACGAGGAGAAAACAGCCTACCTGTGCTCCTGTATAAATGACACATAAGTGTAATTTGTAATTGAACATTTTCTTAAACTGTTTTCATTTTCTCCTGAAAACCCATATTTCAACATACATTGTATATCAATATCTGTTTGCATATTTCTATGTTTGCATATTTCTATATTATTGCCAAACTGTTAGACAAGAGCTTACCAGAATAACATCAATATGTGAATAGTAATGTGAAAATGCTGGAATTCAAACAGTTTTCCTCAAAACACACAGAAAGGTATGAGCATGATAGATAAACATGAAAATAGCATGTGACAAATACCACATAGATACTGTTGTCTTAAGTCTAGCTTCTTGATATGAGACATTGTATTATCTAATAATCCACTTCTCAAACATGTTATTCAGTTATAAAGACAACTTCATCAATAGCATACACAACATATATAACACAATATATATAAATATAACATCAAATACATCAAGACTCGTGATGTCTTACTCCAGTCTAATATATCACCATTTTAACAACCATGAATTGTTTCATTTCACTGATAAAATGTAAATGTTCAATGTTGACCTACAGTATACAGTTCTGTTATTGCACATGTCCACCACTACAAAAAGTAAAATCTTTTTCGTCTAAAGGTTAGACCAGTTATTTATTTTGATTTTATTAGTATGTAAGGATTTCTACAAGAGGCAAATAGCAAAGACAAAATGTCTTGGTTTATTAACCAAAGAATTGGTGTCCACTCAACAAAAGTAGCTGTCAAAGGTGAGATTCAAATATTTTGTGCAATCCCAATGACTTAAGGACACACACGCGCACAAAGATAATAATAGTAATTATATTAATATTTATTTAGTTCCCTCATCATAGCAGCCAAGGGAAGCCATACAGCCTATCTATCACAAAATCTAGGGATGGTTTAGAGCATTTCTAGGGCGGGTCATTCTCCATGATACAGTGAGCAAGTGCTGATAATCTTTCTATTCACCATGTCTTGAACATATTTAACCTACCAATATTTTCACCAGACAATCAACTTTGTCACCAGTTAGAAACAGTAACAGAAAGACTACACAGTCCTCCTACTGCCCCCCATCCATTGTTCCACCTCTCTTCCTCCCCCATCCCTTGTTCCAGCACTCCAATCACTATCTCCTCCACCCTCCTCCCACCATCCCCTTTGTTCCACTCAATCACTATCTCCTCCACCCTCTTCCTCCTCCCCACCATCCATTGTTCCACCCTCTTCCTCCCACCTCTTCTCCTCAATCCCTTGTTCCATCCCCCTCCATTGTTCCATCCCCATCCTCTTCCTCCCCCCTACTGCCCCCCTTCCATTGTTCCACCCTCCTCCCCATCCATTGTTCCACTATCTCCCCTCCCTCCCCCTCTGCCCCCCCATCCATTCCACTCTCTTCCTCCCCATCCCACTCCAACTATCTCCTGCCACCTCTTCCTCCCCCTCACCCCATCCATTGTTCCCTCTAGTCACCCCCATCCATTTCTTTCCACTGCCACCCATCCATTGCTTCCACTCTCTTCCCCCCCATCCATTGTTCCACCCCTACTCCTCCCCATCCTCTGCCACCTCTCTTCCTCCCCTCCCCCATCCATTGTTCCATTATCTTCCTCCCTCCCCCATGCATTGTTCCACTCAGTCACTATCTCCCCACCTCTTCCTCCACTCTCTTCCCCCATCCATTGTTCCACTCTCTGTAACTACTCCCTCCCCCATCCATTGTTCCACTCCCCTCTTCCTCCCCCCCCATCCATTGTTCCACTCCACTCCTGCCACCTCTCTTCCTCCCACCTCTCCCCCCATCCATTGTTCCACTCTTCCCCTCCCCCATCCATTTGTTCCATTATCTTCCTCCTATCTCCACATTGTTCCACTCTCTCCTTCCTCCCCATCCATTGTTCCACTCCTGTCCTCCATTGTTCTTCTTCCTCCCCATCCATTGTTCCATTCATTATCTCCTTCCTCCATCCATTGTTCCACTCCTCTCCTCCCCCATCCATTGTTCCATTGTTCCTCTTCTCCCCCTCCCCATCCATTGTTCCACTCAGTCACTATCTCCACCTCCCTCCTACTTCCTCCCCCCATTACTACCTCCATCCATTGTTCCACTCTCTTCCTCCACTCCCTGTTCCACCATCCATCCATTGTTCCACTCTGTAACTATCTCCTGCCATCTCTTCCTCCCCTACCCCCCCATCCATTGTTCCACTCTGTCACTCTTCCTCCATGTTCCATTGTCTTCCTTCCTCCACCATCCATTGTTCCACTCTGTAACTATCTGCCATCTCTTTCCTCCCCACCCCCATCCATTGTTCCATTATCTCCACCCCTCTCCCTCCCCCCATCCATTGTTCCACTCTTAGTCATCCCCATCCCTTGTTCCATATCTCCTGCCCCCCTTGTTCCCCTACTTCCTCCCCATCCATTGTTCCACTCTATCTTCCTCCCCTCCATCCATTGTTCCACTCCTGTAACTATCTCTCCACCCTCTTCCTCCCCCCTACTACCCCCCATCCATTGTTCCACTCTCTTCCTCCCCCATCCATTGTTTCCACTCTGTAACTATCTCCTGCCACCCCCTCTTCCTCTCTTCCTCCCCCCCATCCTGTTGTTCCTGCCACCTCTTCCTACCCCATCCATTGTTCCACATTCAGTTCACTATCTCCTCCGGCTCTCTTCATCGTTCGATCAGGCTGCAGGTAGCTTGGGCTGTGCACTTATGGCAGTAACCAGCTGCCTAAGCCGGGTTGGCCTGGTCCTCATCCTGGCACTCCAGCCAGCCACTCTCTACACTGCCTCAACCGGGCCACGCTGATCCTTTTGAACTGCAACTGATGTTGTGGCCTGGGATCACCTTCTCTAAGCCTGCAATGATATGACAATAGTTATTTATTCATAATTCAACAAAGCTTAAGAAGAAGCTAAAAAAAGCCATTTATCACAATTTTGTAAACCAACATTCAGCCTTTATTCACACCATACCAGGTGGAGGGTTCCTGAGCTGTCCCAGAATGGCATGTCTCAGTGTGTTCAGACGGATCTTCCAGTTGTACGCAGCGCTCTGACGCTGGAACAAACATCAAAACCACAATAGGTGAGTAAATACAAGGACTAGATAAAGCAACAGTTATATCCCAGAGATATTTGTTTAACTTAACTTGGCAAAACCGGTACAAATGATGCTTAATAGTTTTCATATTGTCTTATGTAAACTGTTTGAGTTAAACTGGTTTGAGAGTTTAGTCCATTTAATGCTGATTCCATTCCAAGCGCATAATACATTTAATTCACTATATTTAAAATGTTTACAATTATTATGCTTGGTTCTTGTAGTCATATTGTTTGTACTTTCAGGCACATACTAAAATCTACACCACCTTTCTTTGCTTTTAAACACATCTGTAAAGATAAACTAATGTCATGTTTTCAAGTACATCACACATATGACTGTATACATTTTGTCAGTGTGTATAGTATAGTGGTATAGTAACCACCTGCCACTGAGATTACACATACACAAGGCCATATCAACAACTCACGTCTCCCTCTGCCTTGCCCTTCATCCCCTCATAGCCAGGCTCGTTGAACATGGGGTCCGGGATGAGGATGAGACTCTGTATGGACACCAGCACCTGCAGCAGTATCACCAGATCATACACTGTTCAGTAGACACAATCAGGACATAGGCGGCCATGGTAGACAATTACACCTGAGAATGTTTATTGTACATTTATTGTTCATTGTATGTAAAAGCGGATCTTGCTCCAGCTGGTGAACTACACTGCTATACAAGACTAACCTGGTATATGCTGGACTTGGAAGGGTTCCACTTCTCACTGGCATCACCGCCATGCCACGTACCCAGGAGACTCAGGCACACCTTGCCGTCAGAGTACAGGTTGGGGTTGAATCTGACACACAAAACACACCTTGCCGTCAGAGTACAGGTTGGCATTGAATCTGACACACAAAACACACCTTGTCGTCAGAGTACAGGTTTGGGTTGAATCTGACACACAAAACACACCTTGTCAGAGTACAGGTTGGGGTTGAATCTGACACACAAAACACACCTTGTCGTCAGAGTACAGGTTTGGGTTGAATCGATGACACACAAAACACACCAGAGTACAGGTTTGGGTTGAATCTGACAGGTTGGGGTTGAATCTGACACACAAAACACACCTTGTCAGAGTACAGGTTGGGGTTGAATCTGACACACAAAACACACCTTGTCGTCAGAGTACAGGTTGGGGTTGAATCTGACACACAAAACACACCTTTGTCAGAGTACAGGTTGGGGTTGAACCTGACACACAAAACACACCTTGTCGTCAGAGTACAGGTTGGGGTTGAATCTGACACACAAAACACACCTTGTCGTCAGAGTACACATTGGGGTTGAACCTGACACACAAAACACACCTTGTCGTCAGAGTACAGGTTGGGGTTGAACCTGACACACAAAACACACCTGGGCCCGGCTGTTCAAAACTCGGTTATCTTTAACCAGCCGTTAAGTACATTTAACCGACCATTAACTAATAACAGAGGGTTATCTTGTTGTTCAAAACTATGTTAACTTTAAACAGGTTGTTAACGTGACGTTAAGTTAACACACCTAAGGTTGGTTAACTCGCAAATGGCGTTCATGGCTAACACTGCTTTCATGAGGCCAGTTCAGCAAAGAAAGGATAGGGTGTATCGTGGACTGGACTTCGATACTGGAAATTATTCTGACCGAAGAGTTACATCTGAAACTGTAACTATGCACTTCATAGGAACTAACATACATGTTGTACAAGAACATGATGCCATACGTTTCATCTTTTAACACTTGTGTAAAGGTTTATATATGTTTTACTACACTAAATGTGTGAATTTCTTCTGTAAATATTATTCAAAACAAACACTTTCACAGAATCAAACACGCATACACCCTATACCCACGTATGATATGATATTGAACAAGGCTAAATGAAGATAATTAAATTAGTTTCATGAAAAAATATCCAAATGATTACATTATGATACTGAAAGTGTAATCGGTAGGGATATGGTGATTGTGTATACTCTTATTCTACCGACCTTCACCTCAGAGAAATTGCCAAATATGTACAACAATGTTGACGCATGACATCACTACCGTTGAGATTTCTTAAAAATGGCGGCTGACATGGGTTTTGCGAGGACCCTCCCCTTGATTCAGGGATCGTTTTTACATAAATATGAGATGTAAGTAATCAGAATGATTCTGACTATCTGTGTATTGTATCATGTTTTTATCGTTTTCATTTTAAGAAAGAGAAGAAGCGGCCAGAAATGCCGATTATTACCGTTTGTTCTGCGTGATTTTGCGTCAGTCATGGCGTCACGCTGCACAGAAACTTGACAGTTTTGTATAAACATATCGCATTCCTGTATTGTATTCATTCTTAATTTCCTATTTCTTGCTACTATGCTCTTTCCATGCAAATGGGTGTCTGAAAATTTGAGAAAATGCTACACAGTATAAAGTCTGAAATTTTCTTTGTTTACATTTTCAAACAGGTGTTGTCTTTTCGAGCACAGCATTTGTTTCCACCCCAATATCTTTCGTTTCAGTTTATCTAGACACTTGGTATTGGTGACAAAGACCAGTTGTAATTAGATTCTAAAATGTATGAGGAATTCAGTAGGGCTGGGACAAGTAGGAAAAAATGGAATCGAGTACCCGTATGTACTTACCCGAATCGGAAATCGAGTACCCAGAAATGTAAGAAATACATTCGGGTCAACCTCTGAATACTCAATCATGATTTGACAGAGACTATCATAGAAAACTTGAAAAAGTGGTAATAAGACAATAAAACTGACCTCAAGCTATTTAATTTACGTCTGTTTAACCAATATAGAGAGTTCATCTCAAATCTCAGTTCATCTCAAATCTAAAATAGACAAAATTGTTAACACTGCAAGTAAAAACACTGGAGTCAGATTTGAATGTTTATCATCAATATATGAGCGGCAAATCGTGAATCAAGCTGTCAAAATCATATCTGACTGTACTCACTACTTAAATTCGGAATACAACCTTCTCCTTCAGGTCGCCCGATACAAAGTTCCAATTGTGAAAACTAAGAGAGCCCGTACATCCTTTATTCCAAGTACCATATCTCTCTTAAACAAATGTGAAGATATCTAAATCAAGAATTTATGTAAATATGTTTGGTATCTCTCTAATGTGTCAGTAGCTCTGCTGATGTAACACAAATTCCTGAAAAGGCATTAAAGTATTATTCTATTCTTCTATTCTATTCTAACACCATTACTTACACTCCTCGTTATAACAACGAACGTTTCGTTCCTGCTGCTACTGTAACTTAACTACTCACTGCACATCGGACAGTACCAATGATGTAAAAACCCGAGAATTTCCGGGTTAGAATATTGATCTTCAGTAACCCATGCTTGTCTTAAGAGGCGACTAACGGGATCGGGTGGTCAGACTAAGCTGACTTGGCTGACACATGTCATCGCGTATCCACATCGATGCTCATGTTGTTGATCACTGGATTGTCTCGTCCAGACTTGATTATTTACAGACCCATGCCGCCATATAGCTGGAATATTGCTGAGTCGCGGCATAAAACTAAACTCACTCATTCAATGATGTAAATGTGTGTTACGTCAAAAACGAAAAGACAAGCTATTGTCTGCCCTTGTCATTATAGAGCTCTCTCCCTTTCCGGTACCCAATTCCTAGAAATAGGACTCGATTCCAGCTGTACCGACCCAGATTCGAGAGTACCCGTGAGTACCCGTCACAGCCTTAGAATTCAGTGATGCATTTGTATAAGCTGAATATGAAATATATGTGATGTAATTGGCGTCTCAATACCCGGCCTTAGCGAAGCGTTGTGAGTTGTGAGTGATATGCAGGCCTACTTAAGTAGTCACTTTGATTAAATGTTATATTTGAATATCGAAACCTTTTGTCTGGCGAACACAACACTATCTCTTGTCATTTTACCGCGATAATGTTTGGAATTTTAAACTTATTTTATAACAATATCTGAATGCTAATGTTATACACTGATGTATTTTATATAAGGAATACAATGGCACAATAGTATTTCTCTGCCGAATCGTTGCAGCGTTCTATAATACCCTCATGAAATTTAATACATGTTTTCCGTCCATGAAGACATTGAAAAGAACTATCTATGCATTTTCTATAGTCACTTGTGAATTGAACTAAATGGAGGTTCATCTGATCAATGAGTATCGAGGAAATTATGTTCATCTACTACAGAGTTCTATAATACACTTATGAAATGTTTTCCGACCTTGAAGTCATTAAAAAGAATTATGCATTTTCTGCAGTCACTTGTGAATTGAACTAAATGAAGGTTCATCTGATTAATGAGTATCGAGGAAATTATGTTCATCTATAAATTAGACACAGCTTCATGTTTTTCAAGACATCTTTCGAATATGTGTGTCTGTGAAGTAAGATTCAGATAATGGCGATATTGCACAGTTTTATTCATGAGATTCCTGTCAACAGTAAGGTCGAATAATAGATCGATTTTATTCAGCAGTGTTGGCCCTGGGGCCTATAGTACAATTACAGTTTGATTACTTTCACATGGTGCTAGTAACATATTAAGTTTCTATTGGCATTGAATGCATATTTCAGATAAAAGCTAATGGTATTATTGTCACAACATCTATATTGTTTGATGTTAAAGATTTGGCAATGTGTGTTCATACATTACAATTTTTGACAGACTTGGCAAATAATTAATAAATGATATTGATAGCATCTTAATGACTTGGCCATACAGTGATGACAATTTAAGGAGTGAAAAGTGAGCGATAGGTCTTGTGGAATTCAAAGATTTATTAAGACTGTAGCCGTCTAAGTGTAACTCCTGTGTAATATTTGTAAATATTCTATCCACTGAAAACATGCTTTTACTATTAATATTACATGTATTTTCATGGATTCATCATATTTAAAGTATAGCTGTGCTATAGTTTCTCATGAAAATGTCTTTTCTGTTGTCGGAATTGAAGTAAGTCCCACACAGAGCTGGGATCATATGTCTTTGAAATATATATGCAAGCGTCTGGAACCCTGTGTTTCCAATACAAGCGTTAAATGGCGCTTCGACATTCGCATGCCTATGATAAACTATAGAGTTGGTCTCAACCATTGACTGGATTACATTCTCATCGTCAGCAGAGAAATTACGACTTCTCTTTTTCCTTGGGGTGCAGGCGACATTTCACAATTCCATTTTTGGTAATCCGGAAGTAAACAGAAAACGGAATTGTGGGATATATGAAAGCTAACCAGTGATGTTAACCACACTACTAAACTTTGACAATGACGTTAGCTAACGGCATGACTAACCATGTTTTGAACAACGCATATTTAACGTTCGGTTACCTAACGGCTGGTTAAGGATTTAACCGGCCGTTAGGAGTTAACCGGCGGTTAAGAAAACCGAGTATTGAACAACCGGGCCCTGGTCGTCAGAGTACAGGTTTGGGTTGAATCTGACACACAAAACACACCTGGTCATCAGAGTACAGGTTGGGGTTGAATCTGACACACAAAACACACCTTGTCATCAGAGTACAGGTTGGGGTTGAACCTGACACACAAAACACACCTTGTCGTCAGAGTACAGGTTGGGGTTGAACCTGACACACAAAACACACCTTGTCATCAGAGTACAGGTTGGGGTTGAACCTGACACAAAACACACCTTGTCGTCAGAGTACAGGTTTTGGTTGAATCTGACACACAAAACACACCTTGTCATCAGAGTACAGGTTTGGGTTGAATCTGACACACAAAACACACCTTGTCGTCAGAGTACAGGTTGGGGTTGAATCTGACACAGAAAAACATCACCACTGAATTCAATGCTTAATCATGTAACCGGCTGTATGACTGACATGGATAGACTATCCTTCACCTCTGTAAGAGCACACGTGGAAGGACCCCATTTGCCATGGTCCTCCTAGTCCTCCTGTGGCTTGTATTCATGAACAACAGCCAGGACATGTATCTGTTGACCTTGTTTGTGACACCTTGCTTCTTATGCTGGTAATATCAATAAACCCTAAATACCTGACACTTCCTCCTCCCGTGGTGATGATCTTCACCAGTGGGGCACTGTTTGGGTAGCTGGCGGGGAAGTAAATGTCAAACGAAACAACCCAGACTGTAAGGTGTCCCAACAGGCCCTGTTACCAGGCTTTCGCATCACATCAATCGCTCCTCCTCCTGTGAAGAACACACACATTACCAATGGTGGAACATGCCCTGACACAACAATCACAGCTGTCTTACTGTTCAATGTGGTAGAAACAAGCCATATACATGAACCAAAGGACTATGATCCCTTTGTCTAGGAGACAAGTGACATGAAACATTAACAATAAATGCTTCTGTTTTGCTTTAATTCTTTGTTTCATTTGAAAACATCTTTTACTTACATGAAGGGTCTGACAGAACCCATGAGAGGTTTCTGAAAAGTTCTAAGCCAGCCTGTCATGGACTGCACAATCTGATGGTTATTGTATTTCCACAATCCAATCTGAGGTCCTGACACTGATGTTGGAGTACATGGATCCTGCTGGTTAAGCAGGATTCCTCCTGGCGCAGGAATAATGTCACCATCACTTGCATATTACTTGCCACATACTTCCCTCCTGAACTCATCACTAAACACTGGCATTATCCCTGACACCATTTCTGCATGGATTCCTGTTGGAGTTAACTTTTTCAGTTGGTAGCCATTCTCTTAGCATAAAAAGTACTACAAGTAAATGAGTGTCACCAACTTGGCTAGGCTCAGAACTTTTGAACCTCTCCTTATAACAGGGAAACTGATTCAAGAGTTAGGAAAGCATGACCATCACTAATGATTTAGAACCATGACACCAACAGTCATAGCAGAGATACATTTGTTAGTATCTGGCATGTTTCCTTGATCTTATTTGCCAATTTTGTTCTTATATTTACCAATGATCATATTACCTGAACAACAAAGATGGCGCATTGGGGTGAACAGGCAGGTTCTGGCACAGCTGCTTCATTTCCTTCATCAGAGTCTTCACCTTGGGGGACCTGCAGACAGAATACAGCAGCAGTGTCTTAGTGTACCTACCAGACAGCAGCAGTGTCTTAGTGTACCCAGCACACAGTAGCAGTGTCTTAGTGTACCCAGCACACAGCAGCAGTGTCTCCAGTGTACCCAGCACACAGCAGCAGTGTCTTAGTGTACCCAGCACACAGCAGCAGTGTCTTAGTGTACAGCAGCACACAGCAGCAGTGTCTTAGTGTACCAGCACACAGCAGCAGTGTCTTAGTGTACCTAGCACACAGCAGCAGTGTCTTAGTGTACCCAGCACACAGCAGCAGTGTCTTAGTGTACCCAGCACACAGCAGCCGTGTCTTAGTGTACCCAGCACACAGTAGCAGTGTCTTAGTGTACCCAGCACACAGTAGCAGTGTCTTAGTGTACCCAGCACACAGTAGCAGTGTCTTAGTGTACCCAGCACACAGTAGCAGTGTCTTAGTGTACCCAGCACACAGTAGCAGTGTCTTAGTGTACCCAGCACACAGCAGCAGTGTCTTAGTGTACCCAGCACACAGCAGCAGTGTCTTAGTGTACCCAGCACACAGCAGCAGTGTCTTAGTGTACTTGACACACAGCAGCAGCAGTGTCTTAGTGTACCCAGCACACAGCAGCAGTGTCTTAAGAGTACCCACCTATTCTATGTGACCAAACCTGCATAACCTGGTCTGGTCTGGGACCTGTACATTATGCACAGCATTTTTGAAATATAGCGATGCATACAAACTTCATGGATAACAACTACTTGTTTATTGCACAGAGCGGCGTTTTAGTGTAGATTCTTCATTGTTGTCTACCCAACTCCTAGAATGCTGATATAGCACTGTGAAATATGTAATGCACCTACCTTGGATCAAGACTCTGCAAATTACTCAGGTAGCTGTGACTTTTCCTGAAAAATATCAATACATGTACATAAAATTTATACAAAAAACCCTTTATAATCACAGTCCATTTGAATTCACACATAATGCGAGTGAGTCCAGTTTTCTGTGTCCAGCCTTCATTAGGCTGTGATAACCTACATCCTTGCAAGACATTCATCAAACATGTGGGTACAAAGTTTACTGTAAGTTTGCCATGTGGGATGCAACCTTCACTATTGTTCATGAGAGGTATCACAAAATAGACAGTGTTACTGTCCGAGTTGGATCTTCTCGTGTTATTGGTATGCCTGTGGTGTGTAGATGTGTTGAATTTAGTGACCTCTGCCGCATTTCACAAAGTGATTGTAACTTAGAGAGTTCAACATGCATTTATGATTTATTTTATGTATGCGCTACAATTCATATGTGAAACTGGAACCTGTAGGTATGAAGTGTGAAGTGTTACCTGTATGTCTGCTGTGAGGAAGCGATAGCCCATCATACAGCGGGTGTAGACCTCCAGCACCTTGTCCTGGTCTACAGCCACACCATCCAGCTCCTTCATCACACTCAGCTCATCCGAGTCGGCCATATCGTCCGACTTTCTCTCCTCATGTAGCTGACGTAACTGGAAGTATGCATTGCCACAGTACTGCATATCACAGTGATGACAGAATACATATGATTGACAGCTAAAACCAAACAATGTACTGGTTGTAGGAGGGGATGTGTACCTGCTGTAGGAGGGGATGTGTACCTGCTGTAGGAGGGGATGTGTACCTGCTGTAGGAGGGGATGTGTACCTGCTGTAGGAGGGGATGTGTACCTGCTGTAGGAGAGGGGATGTGTACCTATGGGAGGGATGTGTACCATATAGGAGGGAGCTGTAGGAGAGGATGTGTACCAGCTGTAGGAGAGGGATGTGTACCAGCTGTAGGGGGATGTGTACCAGCTATAGGAGGGATGTGTACCTGCTGTAGGAGGGATGTGTACCCACTGTAGGAGGGGATGTGTACCTGCTGTAGGAGGGATGTGTACCTGCTGTAGGAGGGATGTGTAACCAGCTGTAGGAGGGGATGTGTACCTGCTGTAAAGGGGATGTGTACCTGGCTGTAGGAGGGATGTGTATGTATTAGGAGGGATGTGTACCCTTCTATAGGAGGATGTGTACCAGCTGTAGGGAGGGATGTGTACCCAGGCTGTAGGAGGGATGTGTACCTGCTGTAGGAGGGATGTGTACCTGCTGTAGAGAGGGATGTGTAACCGCTGTAGGAGGGATGTGTACCTGCTGTAGAGGGATGTGGGCTGTAGGAGGATGTTACCAGCTGTAGGAGGGATGTGTACCTGCTGTAGGAGGGATGTGTACCTGCTGTAGGAGGGGATGTGTACCTGCTGTAGGAGGGGATGTGTACCTGCTGTAGGAGGGGATGTGTACCTGCTGTAGGAGGGGATGTGTACCTGCTGTAGGAGGGATGTGTACCTGCTGTAGGGGGATGTGTACCTGCAGGGGGATGTGTACCTGCTGTAGGAGGGGATGAGGGATGTGTACCTGCTGTAGGGATGGACCTGCTGTGATGTACCTGCTGTAGGAGGGATGTGTACCCTGCTGTAGATGTGTAAGAGGGATGTGTACCTGCTGTAGGAGGATGTGTACCTGCTGTAGGAGGGGATGTGTACCTGCTGTAGGGGGGGATGTGTACCAGCTGTAGGGGGATGTGTACCTGCTGTAGGGAGGGATGTGTACCAGCTGTAGGAGGGATGTGTACCACCTGCTGTGCTGTAGACGGGAGGATGAGTACCTGCTGTAGGGGATGTGTACCTGCTGTAGGAGGGATGTGTACCTGCTGTAGGAGGGATGTGTGCACCTGCTGTAGGGGGGGGATATGTACCTGCTGTAGGATGTGTACCTGGGGATGTGTACCTGCTGTAGGGGATGTGTGTACCTGCTGTAGGGGGGATGTGTACCTGCTGTAGGGATGTGTACCTGTGTGTGTGTACCTGCTGTAGGGGGATGTGTACCTGCTGTAGGGGGATGTGTACCTGCTGTAGAGGGATATGGACATGGGGGGATGTGTGTACCTGCTGTAGGGGGGGATGTGTACCTGCTGTAGGAGGGATGAGGGGGGATGTGTACCTGCTGTAGGGGGATGTGTACCTGCTGTAGGAGGGATGTGTACCTGCTGTAGAAAGAGGATGTGTACCTGCTGTAGGAGGGATGTGTACCTGCTGTAGGGGAGGGATGTGTACCTGCTGTAGGGACAGGATGTAGTGGACACCAGCTGTAGGGGGATGTGTACCTGCTGTAGGGATGGGATGTGTACCAGCTGTAGAGGGGGATGCTGTGTACCTGCTGTGTAGAATGGGATGAGGGACGGGATGAGTACCTGCTGTAGGAGGGATGTGTACCACCTGCTGTAGGAGGGATGTGTACCTGTTGTAGGAGGGGGATGTGTACCTGCTGTAGGGGATATGTACCTGCTGTAGGGGGATGTGTACCTGCTGTAGGGGGATGTGTACCTGCTGTAGGGGGTGTGTACCTGCTGTAGGGGGATGTGTACCTGCTGTAGGAGGGTGTGTGTACCTGCTGTAGGGGGATGTGTACCTGCTGTAGGGGGATGTGTACCTGCTGTAGGGGGGATGTGTACCTGCTGTAGGGGGATGTGTACCTGCTGTAAGAGGGATGTGTACCTGCTGTAGGAGGGATGTGTACCAGCTGTAGGAGGATGTGTACCTGGTGTAGGAGGATGTGTACCTGCTGTAGGGGGATGTGTACCTGCTGTAAGAGGGGATGTGTACCTGCTGGAGGAGGGATGTGTACCTGCTGTAGGAGGGATGTGTACCTGTTGTAGGAGGGGATGTGTACCTGCTGTAGGAGGGGATGTGTACCTGCTGTAGGAGGGGATGTGTACCTGCTGTAGGAGGGGATGTGTACCTGCTGTAGGAGGGGATGTGTACCTGTTGTATGAGTTGCTGGAACTGCTGGAGACTGTCCTCCTCTTCAGACAGACCCTTGGAGCTGATGACAGAGAGGGCCTTGTCCAGGTTACTGGCATCAAAGTCAGCATCAGTTGCCACATTTACCAGGAAGTTGTCATTTGAGGCCGGCACCTCACGGGCAATTCTAAGTAGGATTGTTGTAATTTGCAACAGTAGCTGTTGTGGACTGAAGTTGTATCTAAAACAAAGCAGGATCAAGACTGAAGTTGTATCTAAAACAAGGCAGGATCAAGACTGAAGTTGTATCTAAAACAAGGCAGGATCAAGACTGAAGTTGTATCTAAAACAAGGCAGGATCAAGACTGAAGTTGTATCTAAAACAAGGCAGGATCAAGACTGAAGTTGTATCTAAAACAAGGAAGGATCAAGACTGAAGTTGTATCTAAAACAAATCAGGATCAAGACTGAAGTTGTATCTAAAACAAAGCAGGATCAAGACTGAAGTTGTATCTAAAACAAAGCAGGATCAAGACTGAAGTTGTATCTAAAACAAAGCAGGATCAAGACTGAAGTTGTATCTAAAACAAAGCAGGATCAAGACTGAAGTTGTATCTAAAACAAGGCAGGATCAAGACTGAAGTTGTATCTAAAACAGGGCAGGAGCAAGACTGAAGTTGTATCTAAAACAAAGCAGGATCAAGACTGAAGTTGTATCTAAAACATAGCAGGATCAAGACTGAAGTTGTATCTAAAACAAGGCAGGATCAAGACTGAAGTTGTATCTAAAACAAGGCAGGATCAAGACTGAAGTTGTATCTAAAACATAGCAGGATCAAGCAGAAACTGGGTGAGTATGGTTGAGTATTACAGGACAAAAATGAACAAGTAATGAAATACATGCCGTACAGACCTCAAGTTTCTTTACTTGTTGCCTTATTCCAACTACTTAATGTCAACAAATGAACCTGTGCTTGACAGTTGCATGTTATGGGCACCATGTGACGTTGTCGAGGTAAAATCTCAAGAATCACTGAGTCTGACCAGCTGCACTACCTCTGTCACCCTACAAGCGATACAGTGTCTACCTATTCTACTACCTACTGGTACAGTCCCACTGAATTCCACTGTATTATAGTATTAATTCATGCAATCGACACATAGTAAAATTACGAACTGAGTGAGTTCACTGGAGTATGAAGCTTGACAGAGTGAGGACCAAACTGTATGGATGTGGGAGGTGTGGAGATTACATGTGTTATTCATCACTGATCATCTGCCTGATCATTGGAAGGTTACTATACAGATGTGTCCAACAGACTGTGGTAGACTGTCACATATGCATTTCCTCATTACAACCAGTCAAAGGAATGATATTCTTCAAAGGACATCAAACTAACTTATCCCAATTTATGCCAACATGCAAAGTTCAAGATGAAATAAATGATCACAACAACACTTCTGTATTTATTCAAGCTTGGGAATTCCAGGAAGTTCCCCCAAGAATTTGAAAGTAGTCTTATTTCATTTAAAAAAAAAGTCTTGTGAATAATGTGTGAAAATCAAAATGTGTCGATTCATATAAATGTCAGTTCATGGTCATGTGACCAGCCTCTGATCCACTGGAAAAGCTGTATACCGTGCTAATTTGACATTATAAATGTATTATAGCATACAGGTGTATGTCTCAACACTTCATTGTTCTGATGTAAATGACAAACAACAGTGAGATGAAGATTTCAGGACTTACTTCTCAAAATCTTTCACCTTGTAATCCTTCGCTTTGGCTCCACACAGAGATTCTAAAAACCCACAGATCTGAAAACAAGTACACAGTACCCATTTGAGCTAGGCCTGGAAATCTGTAAGACATTGAATGGTTTAAAAAAAATTTTAAATGAGCATATCCCTTCATCATTGACAACTCTTTTTAACTTCAACAGAAATGTAAACAGATTTATGAGAGTTATAGCCATCACTACACTACCGGTTAGATCATGAAGGATTTGTATCCCTTGCAGAGAAGTTTAACACTCTTATCACTTCACTAGCACAAATACATCACCAATACACCAACAGACACATAACAAAACACAGCAAGGAGGCCTGAAGTAGTAAACAGTTCCCCTTGCTATCTGGTTCAAAGTGTAAGAAAGTAAGCATTAAAACATTCATATCCGTCTGTGACCATATTTTGTCCTCCACTTTCATTCGAGATGAGATCCACCCACTGACCACTGATGCTGATCTCTTGGCTAGTGGTTGTCGTGTGAAGCACCTGGCCACCTCCTCAGCTCTCGTCAATAGGTCAATAAACTCCAGAGTCTGGTTAGCCTGGGGAAAAAGATCACCGTTGATTCTGATTCGTCAATCAAAGTCACAATAACCAGTTCTGATTGAAACACCTGCATCAGTGCTCAAACTAATATCTGAAGGACAGTGCATCTGTTTCAGTCACCTTTTGAAACATTACAATATTACAAGTCAAGAGTTCCGGTGTGTACGCTATTCAAGGTATGTGTGCCAGAACTGACAGAACTGACTGTAACAGAAAGTCGTGACATATTTTGTTTTATATGTTGGCTGTGCTCAGACCAATGTAAAGGTTAAAGAAGAACATACTGTGTTTTCAGTGTAGAGGTGTGTTATATAAACATATAGTTTGGCATGAAATGCATGTGGACCCGGTTTTTTGTAAATATCTCTTCATCCAATGACCCAATCAATCTCAAACTGTGCAAGTGGATGTTTTGTCAGACAACCTAATCACATTGTAAATAAAAAATAAACAGTAGAACGCATAATCTGACGTTGACCTTTATGACCTTAACACTGCAGCTGTTACAGGTCATTGGCTCCCTCCCTCTGCAAGCAGTTTATGCGTTCTGCTATTTATTTTGTTGACAGTTACATACACAGATTCTTTAATACAAATGCATAAAATCGGTGATTTACAATGTGATTAGGTTGTCTGATAAAACATCCACTTGCACAGTTTGAGATTGATTGGGTCATTGGATGAAGAGATATTTACAAAAAACCGGGTCCACATGCATTTCATGCCAAACTATAGTATGAACTAAAATATCTTGGGGTTGGACATCTACAAGACAAACAAAGATGATATGTTTCATACCATGGCCATGAAGCCTTTCCCCACATGTTCCTCGTTCTTCAGGAAGTGTTCTTTGTCCATCTTCTCCTGCATCGACAGAGCATTCCACTCATGCTCTGAAATATGGTCAATGACCCTCCATTATAACATTCACATTTTGATAAATGAAACAATCTGTGAAGATAACAGAGGTCAGCTATAAATGTCCATGTCACAATGGTAGGGGCTTTCACAGCTGTCAGCCATATCACATACTCTGGGCGTATTGCTTGTATCTCATCTCCCATTATCACATACCCTGGGTGTAGTCCTTGTATCTCATCCCTCATTCTCACATACCCTGAGTGTATTGTTTATATCTCATATCTCCAATTATCACATACCCTGGGTGTATTGCTTGTATCTCATCTCCCATTATCACATACCCTGAGTGTATTGCTTATATCTCATCCCTCATTATCACATACCCTGGGTGTATTGCTTGTAACTCATCTCCCATTATCACATACCGTGGGTGTATTGCTTGTATCTCATCTCATATTATCACATACTCTGAGTGTATTGTTTATATCTCATATCTCCCATTATCACATACCCTGGGTGTATTGCTTGTATCTCATCTCATATTATCACATACCCTGAGTGTATTGTTTATATCTCATATCTCCCATTATCACATACCCTGAGTGTATTGCTTGTATCATATCTCCCATTATCACATACGCTGAGTGTATTGCTTATACCTCATCCCTCATTATCACATACCCTGGGTGTATTGCTTGTATCTCATCTCCCATTATCACATACCGTGGGTGTATTGCTTGTATCTCATAACTCATTATCACATACCCTGGGTGTATTGCTTGTATCTCATCTCCCATTATCACATACCCTGGGTGTATTGCTTGTATCTCATCCTCATTATCACATACCCTGGGTGTATTGCTTGTATCTCATCTCCAATTATCACATACACTGAGTGTATTGCTTGTATCTCATCCCTCATTAATATACCCTGAGTGTATTGCTTGTATCTCATTTCCCATTATCATATACCCTGGGTGTATTGCTTGTATCTCATCCCTCATTATTACATACCCTGGGTGTATAGCTTGTATCTCATCTCCAATTATCACATACACTGAGTGTATTGCTTGTATCTCATCCCTCATTATCACATACCCTGGGTGTATTGCTTGTATCTAACCTCCCATTATCACATACACTGAGTGTATTGCTTATATCTCATCCCTCATTATCACATACCCTGGGTGTATTGCTTGTATCTCATCTCCAATTATCACATACACTGAGTGTATTGCTTGTATCTCATCCCTCATTAATATACCCTGAGTGTATTGCTTGTATCTCATTTCCCATTATCATATACCCTGGGTGTATTGCTTGTATCTCATCCCTCATTATCACATACCCTGGGTGTATAGTTTGTATCTCATCTCCAATTATCACATACACTGAGTGTATTGCTTGCATCTCATCCCTCATTAATATACCCTGAGTGTATTGCTTATATCTCATCCCTCATTATCACATACCCTGAGTGTATTGCTTGTATCTCATTTCCCATTATCATATATATACCCTAGCCTTGTATTCATCTTGTATCTCATCCCTCATTATCACATACCCTGGGTGTATAGCTTGTATCTCATCTCCAATTATCACATACACTGAGTGTATTGCTTATATCTCATCCCTCATTATCACATACCCTGGGTGTATTGCTTGTATCTCATCTCCCATTATCACATACACTGAGTGTATTGTATATCTCATCCCTCATTATCACATACCCTGGGTGATTATTGCTTGTATCTCATCTCCCATTATCACATACCCTGGGTGTATTCCTTGTATCTCATCCCTCGTTATCACATACCCTGGGTGTATGGCTTATATCTCATCTCCCATTATCACATACCCTGGGTGTAGTCCTTGTATCTCATCCCTCATTCTCACAAACCCTGGGTGTATTACTTGTATCTCATCCCTCATTATCACTTACACTGAGTGTATTGCTTGTATCTCATCCCTCATTATCACATACCCTGGGTGTACTGCTCTTATCTCATCCCTCATTATCACATATCCTGGGTGTATTGCTTATATCTCATCTCCCATTATCACATACCGTGGGTGTATTGCTTATATCTCATCCCTCATTATCACATACCCTGAGTGTATTGCTTGTATCTCATCTCCCATTATCACATACCGTGGGTGTATTGCTTATATCTCATCCCTCATTATCACATATCCTGGGTGTATTGCTTGTATCTCATCTCCCATTATCACATACCCTGGATGTATTGCTTGTATCTCACCTCCCATTATCACATACCCTGAGTGTATTGTTTATATCTCATATCTCCCATTATCACATATCCTGGGTGTATTGCTTGTATCTCATCTCCCATTATCACATACCCTGAGGTGTATTGCTTATATCTCATCTCCCATTATCACATATCCTGGGTGTATTGCTTGTATCTCATCTCCCATTATCACATACCCTGGATTGTATTGCTTGTATCTCATCCCTCATTCTCACTTACACTGGGTGTATTGCTAGGACCTCATGTCCCATTCTCTCATACAGGGTGTATTGCTACAATCGTATCAACATACAATATTTCTACTCATGTCAACGTTACATTCAAATGCCTATTCACCTGTCATTTATATTTTTCACATAAATACCATTCTGTTTGGCCACTTCTATCTTCTTGATGTTGGCAAGTCTGGAGAGACTGTCATGCAGCATGTACAGCAGCGTGTCAGAATGGCTCCCAGGAAATTCTGGGAACAGCAGGCAGCAGATCATGGAACATGTGAGACTTATCCACTACATACATCTTAGCTCTCAAAGATCTAATCAAAGGATATCCCATTACTGGTCATATTAAAATGACCTTTAGCAAAATTTGACAGACCAAAGGGATGGCAAACATAAGTTTCCACATTAGCAAATCATCTTCCTTAAGCAATACAACACTAGTTTCAAACTGGTGATTTCCGTTTCAGACTAAACTCTGGACAAAAATTTTGTAAAACTCTCAACTCAATATCTGAAAAACTGAACACGAAAAAATTCTGGAATGTGTAAAACTTCCCACTGGCTATGAAAAATCTCCTCCATTTTAAAGCTGGAGATGATGATGATGATGATTTTGCCTGTAACTGACATTCCGCATACCCAGTGTTAAGCCTGATAAGAGAAAACAGATCTCACTTTCCGGGCCTGGTAAGTGATGCTCTTTTCAGTCCAATGAAAGATCTGATTTTACTGAGCATATGAGCAAAGACTCTTACCTGAAATATCTCCTTCTCACACTGCTGAACAATAGATGTCCGACAGTCAGCCCTCCTCCACAGGTGTTCAATCAGTTTGCCAATCTCAGATCTGATATCAGAAAAACACACATCAGACTTTTGAAAGACATGCTGTCTATGGTTAAGATTAAGACACAGAAAATGTTACTTGTATAGCAACATTCTAGAGTCAATATTATCCATTAGCTTCTTACCTGACGTGAATCCTGGTTCAGATCACCTCAACAAGCTTCATCTGAACACCTCTCCTCTACATCAGTAATGGACTAGTGCTGAATTATGTAATCCACATTTATTACAAAGTTGTTGAAATTCTTACCTTGCAGAGTATTTGTCAAACTCATCTTTGTCTACATCCAGGCCCTCAACAACATCGGCGGCTGGCGTGGAGTGCGGAGGAGGGCGAGCCTAGCTGGTTCTGTACTGATGGGCATGTCTCCACCATCGCAGCAAGATCAGACATGAGACCGCTGCCCCATCCTCTAGGTACACAACACATTATTACACAGACATAAGACCGCTGCCCCATCCTCTAGGTACACAACACATTATTACACAGACATAAGACCGCTGCCCCATCCTCTAGGTACTGGGTACACATGAGACCACTGCCCAAACCTCAGGTACACAACACATCATTACACAGACATGAGACTGCTGCCCCATCCTCTTTGTACACAACACATCATTACACAGACATGAGACTGCTGCCCCATCCTCTAGGTACACAACACATCATTACACAGACATGAGACTGCTGCCCTGTCCTCTAGGTACACAACACATTATCACACAGACATGAGACCGTTACCCAATCCTCTAGGTACACAACACATTATTACACAGACATGAGACCCGCTGCCCCATCCTCTAGGTATACAACACATTATCACACAGACATGAGACCACTGCCCCATCCTCTAGGTACACAACACATTATCCACACAGACATGAGACCATTACCCAATCCTCTAGGTACACAACACATTATCACACAGACATGAGACCGCTGCCCCATCCTCTAGGTACACAACACATTATGACACAGACATGAGACTGCTGCCCAAACCTCTAGGTACACAACACATCATTACACAGACATGAGACCACTGCCCCATCCTCTAGGTACACAACACATTATCACACAGACATGAGACCGCTGCCCCATCCTCTAGGTACACAACACATCATTACACAGACATGAGACCGCTGCCCCATCCTCTAGGTACACAACACATCATTACACAGACATGAGACGCTGCCCCATCCTCTAGGTACACAACACATCATTACACAGACATGAGACCACTGCCCCATCCTCTAGGTACACAACACATTATTACACAGACATGAGACTGCTGCCCCATCCTCTAGGTACACCACACATTATCACACAGACATGAGACCACTGCCCCATCCTCTAGGTACACAACACATCATTACACAGACATGAGACCGCTGCCCCATCCTCTAGGTACACAACACATTATCACACAGACATGAGACTGTTACCCCATCCTCTAGGTACACAACACATTATTACACAGACATGAGACCGCTGCCCCATCATCTAGGTACACAACACATTATCACACAGACATGAGACTGCTGCCCCATCCTCTAGGTACACAACACATTATCACACAGACATGAGACCGCTGCCCCATCCTCTAGGTACACAACACATTATCACACAGACAAAAGACCACTGCCCCATCCTCTAGGTACACAACACATTATTACACAGACATAAGACCGCTGCCCCATCCTCTAGGTACACAACACATTATCACACAGACAAAGACCACTGCCCCATCCTCTTGGTACACAACACATTATCACACAGACAAGAGACCGCTGCCCCATCTTCTAGGTACACAACACATCATTACACAGACATGAGACTGCTGCCCCGTCCTCTAGGTACACAACACATCATTACACAGACATGAGACTGCTGCCCCATCCTCTAGGTACACAACACATCATTACACAGACATGAGACTGCTGCCCCATCCTCTAGGTACACAACACATTATCACACAGACATTAGACCGTTACCCAATCCTCTAGGTACACAACTGACTGACTGACTGACTGAGTTTAGTTTTACGCCGCTTTTAGCAATATTCCAGCAATATCACGGCGGGGGACACCAGAAATGGGCTTAACACATTGTGCCCATGTGGGGAATCGAACCCGGGTCTTCGGCGTGACGAGCCAACGCTTTAACCACTAGGCTACCCCACCGCCCCCCTAGGTACACAACACATCATTACACAGACATGAGACCGCTACCCCATCCTCTTGGTACACAACACATCATTACACAGACATGAGACTGCTGCCCCATCCTCTAGGTACACAACACATCATTACACAGACATGAGACCGCTGCCCAATCCTCTAGGTACACAACACATTATCACACAGACATGACTGACTGACTGAGTTTAGTTTTACGCCGCTTTTAGCAATATTCCAGCAATATCACGGCGGGGGACACCAGAAATGGGCTTAACACATTGTGCCCATGTGGGGAATCGAACCCGGGTCTTCGGCGTGACGAGCCAACGCTTTAACCACTAGGCTACCCCACCGCCCCCACAGACATGAGACCGCTGCCCCATCCTCTAGGTACACAACACATTATCACACAGACATGAGACCGTTACCCAATCCTCTAGGTACACAACACATTATCACACAGACATGAGACTGTTACCCAATCCTCTAGGTACACAACACATTATCACACAGACATGAGACCTCACCCCATCCTCTAGGTACACAACACATCATAACACAGACATGAGACCGCTGCCCCATCCTCTAGGTACACAACACATCATTACACAGACATGAGACCACTGCCCCATCCTCTAGGTACACAACACATTATCACACAGACATGAGACCGCTGCCCCATCCTCTAGGTACACAACACATTATCACACAGACATGAGACCGTTACCCAATCCTCTAGGTACACAACACATTATCACACAGACATGAGACTGTTACCCAATCCTCTAGGTACACAACACATTATCACACAGACATGAGACCTCACCCCATCCTCTAGGTACACAACACATCATAACACAGACATGAGACCGCTGCCCCATCCTCTAGGTACACAACACATCATTACACAGACATGAGACCACTGCCCCATCCTCTAGGTACACAACACATTATTACACAAACATGAGACCGTTACCCAATCCTCTAGGTATTGTTCATTGCTTTATTAACATTGACATGCTGATATTAATGTGTCACTGACCAAGAAGTTACATGCACTATTGTCATTCCAGAAATTTTGGGTACATACCTTGAGCTTTGCCTTTTTGATGAGTTGACAAACTGGAGCAAACAAGAGACCATCTTACTGGCAGGAATAGGACCAGGCATGAGGTCAGGCCTCTCCAGGAGACTTACACAGCAGTCAACAAAGAAGGAGATCTGTGGACAGAGATAGCACCAGGCATGTCAGGCCTTTCTAGAAGACACACAACAAAGGAGGAGATCTGTGGACAGAGATAGGACCAGGCATGACGTCAGGTCTTTCTAGAAGACACACAACAAAGGAGGAGATCTGTGGACAGAGATAGGACCTGGCATGACGTCAGGTCTTTCTAGAAGACACACAACAAAGGAGGAGATCTGTGGACAGAGATAGGACCAGGCATGACATCAGGTCTTTCTAGAAGACACACAACAAAGGAGGAGATCTGTGGACAGAGATAGCACCAGGCATGTCAGGCCTTTCTAGAAGACACACAACAAAGGAGGAGATCTGTGGACAGAGATAGGACCAGGCATGTCAGGCCTTTCTAGAAGAAAACACAACAAAGAAGGAGATCTGTGGACAGAGATAGCACCAGGCATGACGTCAGGTGTTTCTAGAAGACACACAACAAACGAGGAGATCTGTGGACAGAGATAGCACCAGGCATGTCAGGCCTTTCTAGAAGAAACACAACAAAGGAGGAGATCTGTGGACACAGATAGGACCAGGCATGTCAGGCCTTTCTAGAAGAAACACAACAAAGGAGGAGATCTGTGGACAGAGATAGCACCAGGCATGGCGTCAGGTCTTTCTAGAAGACACACAACAAACAAGGAGAGGAGGAGATCTGTGGACAGAGATAGCACCAGGCATGTCAGGCCTTTCTAGAAGAAACACAACAAAGGAGGAGATCTGTGGACAGAGATAGGACCAGGCATGTCAGGCCTTTCTAGAAGAAACACAACAAAGGAGGAGATCTGTGGACAGAGATAGCACCAGGCATGTCAGGCCTTTCTAGAAGAAACACAACAAAGAAGGAGATCTGTGGACAGAGATAGGACCAGGCATGACGTCAGGTCTTTCTAGAAGACACACAACAAAGGAGGAGATCTGTGGACAGAGATAGGACCAGGCATGAGGTCAGGTCTTTCTAGAAGACACACAACAAAGGAGGAGATCTGTGGACAGAGATAGCACCAGGCATGACGTCAGGTGTTTCTAGAAGACACACAACAAACGAGGAGATCTGTGGACAGAGATAGCACCAGGCATGTCAGGCCTTTCTAGAAGAAACACAACAAAGGAGGAGATCTGTGGACAGAGATAGGACCAGGCATGTCAGGCCTTTCTACAAGAAACACAACAAAGGAGGAGATCTGTGGACAGAGATAGGACCAGGCATGTCAGGCCTTTCTAGAAGAAACACAACAAAGAAGGAGATCTGTGGACAGAGATAGGACCAGGCATGACGTCAGGTCTTTCTAGAAGACACACAACAAAGGAGGAGATCTGTGGACAGAGATAGCACCAGGCATGTCAGGCCTTTCTAGAAGAAACACAACAAAGGAGGAGATCTGTGGACAGAGATAGCACCAGGCATGACGTCAGGTCTTTCTAGAAGACACACAACAAAGGAGGAGATCTGTGGACAGAGATAGGACCAGGCATGACGTCAGGTCTTTCTAGAAGACACACAACAAAGGAGGAGATCTGTGGACAGAGATAGCACCAGGCATGACGTCAGGTCTTTCTAGAAGAAACACAACAAACAAAGGAGATCTGTGGACAGAGATAGCACCAGGCATGTCAGGCCTTTCTAGAAGAAACACAACAAAGGAGGAGATCTGTGGACAGAGATAGGACCAGGCATGTCAGGCCTTTCTAGAAGAAACACAACAAAGGAGGAGATCTGTGGACAGAGATAGGACCAGGCATGTCAGGCCTTTCTAGAAGAAACACAACAAAGAAGGAGATCTGTGGACAGAGATAGGACCAGGCATGACGTCAGGTCTTTCTAGAAGACACACAACAAAGGAGGAGATCTGTGGACAGAGATAGGACCAGGCATGACATCAGGTCTTTCTAGAAGAAACACACAACAAAGGAGGAGATCTGTGGACAGAGATAGCACCAGGCATGTCAGGCCTTTCTAGAAGAAACACAACAAAGGAGGAGATCTGTGGACAGAGATAGGACCAGGCATGTCAGGCCTTTCTAGAAGAAACACAACAAAGGAGGAGATCTGTGGACAGAGATAGCACCAGGCATGTCAGGCCTTCCTAGAAGAAACACAACAAAAGAGGAGATCTGTGGACAGAGATAGCACCAGGCATGACGTCAGGTCTTTCTAGAAGAAACACAACAAAGGAGGAGATCTGTGGACAGAGATAGGACCAGGCATGACGTCAGGTCTTTCTAGAAGACACACAACAAAGGAGGAGATCTGTGGACAGAGATAGCACCAGGCATGACGTCAGGTCTTTCTAGAAGAAACACAACAAAGGAGGAGATCTGTGGACAGAGATAGCACCAGGCATGTCAGGCCTTTCTAAAAGACACACAACAAAGGAGGAGATCTGTGGACAGAGATAGGACCAGGCATGACGTCAGGTCTTTCTAGAAGAAACACAACAAAGAAGGAGATCTGTGGACAGAGATAGCACCAGGCATGTCAGGCCTTTCTAGAAGAAACACAACAAAGGAGGAGATCTGTGGACAGAGATAGCACCAGGCATGACGTCAGGTCTTTCTAGAAGAAACACAACAAAGGAGGAGATCTGTGGACAGAGATAGCACCAGGCATGTCAGGCCTTTCTAGAAGAAACACAACAAAGGAGGAGATCTGTGGACAGAGATAGCACCAGGCATGTCAGGCCTTTCTAGAAGACACACAACAAAGGAGGAGATCTGTGGACAGAGATAGCACCAGGCATGTCAGGTCTTTCTAGAAGAAACACAACAAAGGAGGAGATCTGTGGACAGAGATAGGACCAGGCATGTCAGGCCTTTCTAGAAGAAACACAACAAAGAAGGAGATCTGTGGACAGAGATAGGACCAGGCATGACGTCAGGTCTTTCTAGAAGAAACACAACAAAGGAGGAGATCTGTGGACAGAGATAGCACCAGGCATGTCAGGCCTTTCTAGAAGAAACACAACAAAGGAGGAGATCTGTGGACAGAGATAGCACCAGGCATGACGTCAGGTCTTTCTTGAAGAAACACAACAAAGGAGGAGATCTGTGGACAGAGATAGCACCAGGCATGTCAGGCCTTTCTAGAAGAAACACAACAAAGGAGGAGATCTGTGGACAGAGATAGCACCAGGCATGTCAGGCCTTTCTAGAAGACACACAACAAAGGAGGAGATCTGTGGACAGAGATAGCACCAGGCATGTCAGGTCTTTCTAGAAGACACACAACAAAGGAGGAGATCTGTGGACAGAGATAGGACCAGGCATGTCAGGCCTTTCTAGAAGAAACACAACAAAGAAGGAGATCTGTGGACAGAGATAGGACCAGGCATGACGTCAGGTCTTTCTAGAAGAAACACAACAAAGGAGGAGATCTGTGGACAGAGATAGCACCAGGCATGTCAGGCCTTTCTAGAAGACACACAACAAAGGAGGAGATCTGTGGACAGAGATAGCAGCAGGCATGTCAGGCCTTTCTAGAAGACACACAACAAAGGAGGAGATCTGTGGACAGAGATAGCACCAGGCATGTCAGGCCTTTCTAGAAGAAACACAACAAAGAAGGAGATCTGTGGACAGAGATAGGACCAGGCATGACGTCAGGTGTTTCTAGAAGACACACAACAAAGGAGGAGATCTGTGGACAGAGATAGCACCAGGCATGACGTCAGGTCTTTCTAGAAGAAACACAACAAAGAAGGAGATCTGTGGACAGAGAGAGGACCAGGCATGTCAGGCCTTTCTACAAGACACATAACAAAGGAGGAGATATGTGGACAGAGATAGGACCAGGCATGTCAGGCCTTTCTAGAAGAAACACAACAAAGGAGGAGATCTGTGGACAGAGAGAGGACCAGGCATGAGGACAGGCCTTTCTAGAAGACACACAACAAAGGAGGAGATCTGTGGACAGAGATAGCACCAGGCATGACGTCAGGTCTTTCTAGAAGACACACAACAAAGGAGGAGATCTGTGGACAGAGATAGCACCAGGCATGTCAGGCCTTTCTAGAAGAAACACAACAAAGGAGGAGATCTGTGGACAGAGAGAGGACCAGGCATGTCAGGCCTTTCTACAAGACACATAACAAAGGAGGAGATATGTGAACCGAGATAGCACCAGGCATGAGGACAGGCCTTTCTAGAAGACACACAACAAAGGAGGAGATATGTGGACCGAGATAGGACCAGGCATGTCAGGCCTTTCTAGAAGAAACACAACAAAGGAAGAGATCTGTGGACAGAGAGAGGACCAGGCATGTCAGGCCTTTCTACAAGACACATAACAAAGGAGGAGATATGTGAACCGAGATAGCACCAGGCATGAGGACAGGCCTTTCTAGAAGACACACAACAAAGGAGGAGATATGTGGACCGAGATAGGACCAGGCATGTCAGGCCTTTCTAGAAGAAACACAACAAAGGAAGAGATCTGTGGACACAGGATTGAGGGAGTTGAAAAACATGCTCAACAACATACAAATTCATGCATTTACAAGTCCATATGTAACCATGGAAACTCACTGAAAGACCCTGGAGAACTCCCTTGTGGACGTAGACTGCATGGGTGGCCACAAACCGGAACCAGATGGCCATATCCTTCACACAGAACTCTGGTATCATGGAAAAAGCCTTCTTCTCTGCCTTCACTTTCTCCTCATCACTTACTGATCCCTGTGAAAGAACAAGAACTAGATTAGAACAGAATTTACGTGTCTTATCATGGACAATTTTGGTAATCTATTTGGAAGTGAAAGACAACTAGAAAGGTGTTGGCAGTTCATGCAGCAAACAGAAGCTACCCCAAACACACAATTTCCTGAAGGCTCTAAAACTGTTCCATCAGAAACAGGAATCATGAACCGTTTTGACTTAACCACAGCATGTCAAATGCAGTACAACTTTGGGACTTTTTTGAGTAATTCCAGGTTCAAATAACATAACTTCTCTTTTGGCAATGCAGAAGTAGAACAGTAAAAGAGTAATGACTCCACAATAAAATAGTTATAGCCACTTCCAGTTTAAAAAAACACTTTCAGTTTTGGAAACCATCTGACCAGTGCGGTACATCTTTGATGTATAATCAAACCATGCCAGCAGCTAATATAATATCCAAGTTATGAGCACACCCAGCATATATAACACCACGAATTACACCACAGACATCACGGACATACAGTTTTGTCAGATTTCAATCATAAATGCTCAAGTATAGAAGTTATGTAGGCATATACTTTCACATATTGACCTCTGGCACCCTTAACCTCATATGGAGGTCACCCAAAACTTGATAGGATTGGGACCCCGCCTTTGAGTTCATGTAGACTGACAAAATTCCATTCATAAATGTTCAAGTTATAACATAGACAAGCTTCATTTATTCCTAGTTCATAATGACTGACCTTCACCTACCAGTCAATCATATGTCAGATGTACACAGGAAGTATATCAGGTGTGAAGAGTCTAACACCTCTCACAAGTATGTGGTTTACAAATCTAACTGTTTACAATGCTAATGGATGGGACTGACCTCCCCAGCTTCCTTCAGCAGCTTCTGCAGCAACTCAGCCTGACTGAGATAGAACATTGTGACACTCCGGACAAGCTCCTGGTCACACAGACAGGTATCCCACATCAGAGTCAGCAGCTGGAACGAAAGCATGGAATGGATCCATTATAGATAAATATACTGACATCATAACTGCAATAGAGGGATAGATACTTAATAATAAATAATAATAATAATGGCTATTCATAAAGCTCCTGTTTCTATGCACTGGTGCATGCTCAAAGGGCTAACATGTTATTACCCTGCCTGTGAGGTGTAAGATGGTTAAGAGTCACATGACTTATCCCACTGGGTACCCATTCACTGCTGGGTGAACAGAGGCTATCCATGAACAAACTCACTTGCCTAAGGTGACACCAGATGTGTCACCTGTACTTAGTATTTCTAAATACTTACCACGTGCTGGTTGCGAATCTGCTCTTCAAGGCTGCTTCCCTTTACAGACTCTATTTTCAGTTGCAGGTCTCTGAAAGGAAACATCACCAGTAAACACTTATGTTTGTAGTGTGTGAATGTATGTGGGACATGTACAGCAATGTTTTAATTATTCAGGCCATCAACTAAAAACTGCAGCTTATTGTGACATCAATTGACCTTTAAATTTACTGCAGGTCATAAGGAACCACACAAGTTTGGAAGGTCAGGCCTTACTAGAGACCTACATGCCACAGGCCTTATTGGCACCTTAGGGAAAGGAACTTATTTCAAACACTGACCTGATAATTACACACCTCTGCACCTTGTTGTAGTGCATGATGGTAGATGGGGACACCACACTGAGGGCTACTCACCTCTGCATCCTGTTGTAGTGAGTGAGTGAGTGAGTGAGTGAGTAAGTTTAGTTTTACGCCGCACTCAGCAATATCCCAGCTATATGGCGGCGGTCTGTAAATAATCTAGTCTGGACCAGACAATCCAGTGATCAACAGCATGAGCATCGATCTGCGCAATTGGGAACCGATGACATGAGGGCTATTCACCTCTGCATCCTGTTGTAGTGCATGATGGTAGATGGGGACACCACACTTAGGGCTACTCACCTCTGCATCCTGTTGTAGTGCATGATGGTAGATGGGGACACCACACTAAGGGCTACTCACCTCTGCATCCTGTTGTAGTGCATGATGGTAGATGGGGACACCACACTTAGGGCTACTCACCTCTGCATCCTGTTGTAGTGCATGATGGTAGATGGGGACACCACACTAAGGGCTACTTACCTCTGCATCCTGTTGTAGTGCATGATGGTAGATGGGGACACCACACTGATGGCTACTTATCTCTGCATCCTGTTGCAGTGCATGATGGTAGATGGGGACACCACACTGAGGGCTACTTACCTCTACATCCTGTTGCAGTGCATGATGGTAGATGGGGACACCACACTTAGGGCTACTTACCTCTGCATCCTGTTGTAGTGCATGATGGTAGATGGGGACACCACACGGAGGGCTACTTACCTCTGCATCCTGTTGTAGTGCATGATGGTATATGGGGACACCACACTAAGGGCTACTTACCTCTGCATCCTGTTGCAGTGCATGATGGTAGATGGGGACACCACACGGAGGGCTACTTACCTCTGCATCCTGTTGTAGTGCATGATGGTAGATGGGGACACCACACTTAGGGCTACTTACCTCTGCATCCTGTTGCAGTGCATGATGGTAGATGGGGACACCACACTAAGGGCTACTTACCTCTGCATCCTGTTGTAGTGCATGATGGTAGATGGGGACACCACACTTAGGGCTACTTACCTCTGCATCCTGTTGCAGTGCATGATGGTAGATGGGGACACCACACGGAGGGCTACTTACCTCTGCATCCTGTTGTAGTGCATGATGGTAGATGGGGACACCACACTAAGGGCTACTTACCTCTGCATCCTGTTGTAGTGCATGATGGTAGATGGGGACACCACACTTAGGGCTACTTACCTCTGCATCCTGTTGTAGTGCATGATGGTAGATGGGGACACCACACTAAGGGCTACTTACCTCTGCATCCTGTTGTAGTGCATGATGGTAGATGGGGACACCACACTGATGGCTACTTATCTCTGCATCCTGTTGCAGTGCATGATGGTAGATGGGGACACCACACTGAGGGCTACTTACCTCTACATCCTGTTGCAGTGCATGATGGTAGATGGGGACACCACACTTAGGGCTACCTACCTCTGCATCCTGTTGTAGTGCATGATGGTAGATGGGGACACCACACTTAGGGCTACTTACCTCTGCATCCTGTTGTAGTGCACGATGGTAGATGGGGACACCACACTTAGGGCTACTTACCTCTGCATCCTGTTGCAGTGCATGATGGTAGATGGGGACACCACACTAAGGGCTACTTACCTCTGCATCCTGTTGCAGTGCATGATGGTAGATGGGGACACCACACTGATGGCTACTTACCTCTACATCCTGTTGCAGTGCATGATGGTAGATGGGGACACCACACTTAGGGCTACTTACCTCTGCATCCTGTTGTAGTGCATGGTGGTAGATGGGGACACCACACTGAGGGCTACTTACCTCTGCATCCTGTTGTAGTGCATGATGGTAGATGGGGACACCACACGGAGGGCTACTTACCTCTGCATCCTGTTGTAGTGCATGATGGTATATGGGGACACCAAACTAAGGGCTACTTACCTCTGCATCCTGTTGTAGTGCATGATGGTAGATGGGGACACCACACAGGAGGAGGGCTACTTACCTCTGCATCCTGTTGTAGTGCATGATGGTAGATGGGGACACCACACTTAGGGCTACCTACCTCTGCATCCTGTTGCAGTGCATGATGGTAGATGGGGACACCACACTGAGGGCTACTTACCTCTGCATCCTGTTGTAGTGCATGATGGTAGATGGGGACACCACACTGAGGGCTACTTACCTCTGCATCCTGTTGCAGTGCATGATGGTAGATGGGGACACCACACTAAGGGCTACTTACCTCTGCATCCTGTTGTAGTGCATGATGGTAGATGGGGACACCACACTTAGGGCTACTCACCTCTGCATCCTGTTGTAGTGCATGATGGTAGATGGGGACACCACACTGAGGGCTACTTACCTCTGCATCCTGTTGTAGTGCATGATGGTAGATGGGGACACCACACTTAGGGCTACTTACCTCTGCATCCTGTTGTAGTGTATGATGGTAGATGGGGACACCACACTAAGGGCTACTCACCTCTGCATCCTGTTGTAGTGCATGATGGTATATGGGGACACCACACTTAGGGCTACTCACCTCTGCATCCTGTTGTAGTGCATGATGGTAGGTAGAACACCCACATTAAGAGCCCGCTGGATTAAGTGGAAACACTCTGTGATAAAGTTGTGTTGTGACTGTAGATCTTTCGGAACAGAGCCCAATCCTCGCTCTTCTGATGTGTCACTCACTGAAACCATTTTGCTTGATTTAGTACATGAAAGATTGTAAAAGAAAATGATGAAAATATATTTTTCATCAATGTGTAATGTATCCAGAAGTTTTGATAAGTTGAACATGATAAATGACTATGAGGCTATGTTATGACAAATCATGATGAACACTGTTATATGACAGTGATGTTAATATGTGCATAAGCAGATAAGACATAGCTGTAACACACCTATCTGTCCCCCAGCTAGACATGTCTCAAAGTCGTAGTTGAGCCGACATGCCTCTGACGTCGAGTATCCGAGGTTGACCTTGTCCAGCTTGCCCTTGTTGCTGTAGATTGGCAGGAAGAACTCCAGCAGCATCCCGCAGAAGTTCACCATGTATGCTAACAAGGAACATGCAGTGTTCTTAGGCATTTGTCAGGCACTTTAGGCATGCATCATACATTTGTCAACTTTACCATTTCTTTAAAAACTGTCAATACAGTTTACAGCGTCAGATTAGTTGTGTTCTTTGATATTGATACCTGTATCAATATTCAGATATTGGATAGCTGTGAAATAAAAATATCACAGCATACATCATGACTCAAGTGTACATCATCACCATTATGGGGCCAAACTACAACCTGGGTCACTGAACCCTGACAGGGCCTCACCATCACCATTATGGGGACAACTGCAACCTGGGTCACTGAACCCTGACAGGGCCTCACCATCACTGCAGCAGGCTTGAACCTGGGAATCATTCTGTAGCAGGGCTGATGTGCGCAACTCGTTCAGGTTGATGACACTGGCGATCCAGGACAGGCCCTGCTCCCTCGACGCCCTGGAGGTTACAACCTTCTTCAGGGCATTGTACACCACATTCCAACAACGATGAAGTCCCTCCTGGATTGCTGACTAGAAGCAGGAGTCAAGAATCGACAACTACGTTACACATTACTCAGTAGTAAATAGGGTAGCATGTTTCACAAAAGTAAGCATGAGGTACTTTGGAAAGATACATTAAAACTAAGAGGTATATGAAAAGAAAATACCACATTTGAACAATATCCTTATATTAGAGGGTAGCTAACACTTGGGTTTTTCAGCAAAAGAATACCTGCAATTACAAGTGGCAAAATGCCCTCAGGGTATAAATGAGGATTTCTCTCATGTTACATTTCATGCAATGAAGCATCTGATTTGAAGATGCTTATATCTAAGGTATGACCCGAGCCTCCCCGGATCCCAGTAGTTGGGTGTCTCGGTGCCTACTGGACTACCTGTGGACCCTCAATGATTCATTTCATATCAACACAGGCACAGAGTGACATCGCTTGCTGTACAAGGCTACTACTTCTCCACAAAACACAAATATAAGGCCGCATGAACATACCTCAACAAGGTGGAGGTCTGACTCAGTGACTCGAGGGAAGCCTCTCATAGATGTAAATGGCGACGCTGCATTCCCTGTCAGGGTGATCTGACGCTTCGCTGGAACTTGGTTGGCACTGTGGACACCGCCAGAAGAGGTCCAAACAGGGATGACTTCTCAAAATAATTGCCCTGATAAAGCAGAAGAATTAAGTTCACTAAGTGACAGTTTACTTAGTGTTGCGAAGTGTTGTGCTTCAACTAGCATGTTCAGTTTTCATGAAGTAATTTGCCTGAGCAGAACTGAGTCAAGTCTGTATTGTTGGTCTTCAAGTATCCTGATCTCTTAACACTGAAAATAAATGTCAGCTGGAACTCACCAGTCCCTTGGCAGCCTCAGGCACTTCCTTCTCTAGAGCAATTGCTAACACAGCTCCTGCAGTCCCCTGGAAACAGACGTGAGAGTTACTCCCCAAGATAACATCAGTTGCCAGTTATGAGGGAGTCACTCCTCATTGTGCACATGATCTTGTATTTATCTGTGAACCATCGAGGTTTCTATCTTGAACCTGATTCATACAGTTACTTGTACTAAAGTACTGTCGGAAATGCTGGGAAAATGCTTTTTGACTTTTATGTAAAAGTCAGAGGTATCACAGTAACTTAAATAACAAATATCCCTTTAAGAAACATCTACCAAATGTAGACCGAGGGAATAAATTTTGAGACATGCCCTAAAATGTGTTTTTACATATGAAAATATAAAAAACTTAGAAAAATAAGGGGTAGTGGAACATTATTTGATACAAACATTAACTGCTTGTGTTATGTCATCAGCATGCACGGTATTGACAGGTGAAATTGACACTTGTGCATGGGTGAGGGGTCATCTCAATACATCTTTTTCTTCATAATGTTGAATATGTGTACGTATAGTATACGTATTGGTTATGTAAGGGATCATGTGATATCCACATGTCGCACACCAATAACACCTATATATATATATGTGTGTGTGTGTGTGTGTGTGTGGAAATAAACATACGAATTATTGTGCATGAGAAAGCATCCCATCACTTGTGTTATTTTATCGATTGATTGTAGAAATGTACAACGTTTTAATAATTGTTTTGCATGTCATTAGTATGTTTCTTTGCAAAAATATGGATGTAATTCGGTCAATTTAATCAAGTTGTGAACATTGGCCAAAGATTTAACGAAGCCACTGGTATAGCTTCCCAGTTTTGCTTTTGAGACTGTCCCTGTCTTGTCTGATTTGTTTAAAATATTGTTAACTTATTGGTAAGACATACCAACAGCTCTACAAGTTCTGTAATAAACCCTTTCTAAACTAATGAAAGGTTTACCTCTGTCTTTCTCAAGCACAAAAAAACTTATAAACCTTTGCAACAATCGACTGCAAATAGTTGGCCATAGTGAACGCTGTGATAAAGATGTGCATGCATGACGGGAAACTTATTTATTAAGACTTAACATTTATATTAATATTTCTTCAATAAAAAAACATAATTAAGTCAAGTAACACAAACATTCAACATTTTATTTGTTTGAGAAAAACATTAATTAATATTTTTGCACCACCTGTATTATTAGCATAAATTTAAAGACCATTTCAGATTTCTCATGTTAAACTCTGAAAAAATCTTGAGTTGTTGTTTTGGTACCAAATTCTCTCCTGTAAACTGCCCTTTAAATGCATGGAAATGTTAAATCGATTGAAATAAAAATTAGGTACACTATAGGCGAGTTAATATATTGACAACATAGTACATTTATCACCTTTATCAAAGTATTAAGGTTAAAAAGCATTTTTCTAGTATTTCCGACAGTACTTTAATCAATCTGCTGCCTTCAAGTCCATCCATCAGGTTGGAAAATGTAAAACAGGCAAGTCAACAAATTAATTTCATCCAGTCAAGCTAAACATTTCAAAGAGTGGTGTATACTTAAGATGCCATGGTAATATGAACCAGGGTGTTTGAGTGAATGGGTGGGTAATGTCCAAACATTATTCCAGTTGTATTACAAAAGACCAGCTTATGTGTCAGAAAAGCTCAAATTAAGAAGATTTTTTTTTTTTATCTGAACCCATCTTACATTATCAAGTAGTATTTCCAGAGCTCTGAGCGTCTTGCCCTCCCTGAGAATCACTTCATCCATCCTGCAAGTGGAGCAGTACAGGTAATCAGCTCTTGTGATGTTCACCTTACTTCACACATAACATCATTAAACACTCCTGAACCAGCTGCTGCACAACTGAAGCATCTAACAGCTGGGTTCTGTCCTCCAGATACTTTAACATAAATTCATAAACTAAAGTATACAAAACATTCAGTTTCATGAAATGTGCATTTTCATTTTGATAAGATGAAACTTAAAAACTGATATTCTGCAGTTCTACACATAAACTCCTTGACATTTAGTTTTAATGCAAAGACTGATCACACACTGATCACAATATTGATCACACACATACCGGTACACACATACCTCTCAACACTGGCTACTTGTTGACCTGCAGCCTGAAGCAACACAGTCAGGAATAGGACAGAGTTATCTTCCTTGGCAGCACCTGCACTGTCCTCACTTTGCTGCAGTAACCTTGACAACAGGCTGGCAGGCACCTGAACACAGTCCTTCGACCACCCAGTCACACACAACAGGAAGTTCACAGCCTCACTCTGAAAGCAAATGGGAGAAGAAAAATCACAAAATTGTTATTTGTCAAATTGCAAATATGATGCGTGAAATCATTTCCCCAAATTTGGCTGTTATTTTCCTCTCCTGTACAAAGACACATGTGTATTACAAAACTAAAATCCCAACATAAGAATTATATGTGACATACAGATTCGCTTAAATACATGGCAACCATATCTGTCTCTAGCATTATCATCAACAATGTCTGACACAAAAACTACAAAAGGGCCCCATAGTAGCACATGTAATAATTGGGGGACAGAACATGTCTTTATCAAAACAGTTAAATCTATACATGTACTTGAAAACACACTGGTCCTACTTACTGCAACGTGTGTATTGTCATAGTCAGACCACAGATCGTCATCCTCGGCATTAGCTGACTCTACAGAAATAAGTATAGAGGCTCTCACTCAAACCGTTTACACACAATATGGCAAGAAACACAGAACTTTTACAAAAGTCTTTGCAGATGACCATAAATTGATTGTATAAATTAAATAGTTGAATATACTAGGGCAGTCAACATTTGCAGGCCATGATCATATCAAGGGAAAGAGTTTCTACAAAATCTACCAAGTACTTCTCTACACAGGTATGAGAGCTTGTCTGGAACAGCCTTAGTTAACTGCTGACAATGATGTCTGCAACAACTTTATTTAACAGCTGACAGTGATGTCTGCAACAGCTTTAGTTAACAGCTGACAATGATGTCTGGAACAACTTTAGTTAACAGCTGACAATGATGTCTGGAACAGCTTTAGTTAACCGCTGACAATGATGTCTGCAACAGCTTTAGTTAACCGCTGACAATGATGTCTGCAACAGTTTTAGTTAACAGCTGACAATGATATCTGCAACAACTTTAGTTAACAGCTGACAATGATGTCTGGAACAGCTTTAGTTAACCGCTGACAATGATGTCTGTAACAGCTTTAGTTAACCGCTGAAAATGATGTCTGCAACAGCCTTAGTTAATAGCCGACAATGATGTCTGGAACAACTTTAGTTAACCGCTGACAATGATGTCTGCAACAACTTTAGTTAACTGCTGACAATGATGTCTGGAACAGCCTTAGTTAACAGCTGACAATGATGTCTGGAACAGCCTTAGTTAACAGCTGACAATGATGTCTGCAACAGCCTTAGTTAACAGCTGACAATGATGTCTGGAACAGCTTTAGTTAACAGCTGACAATGATGTCTGCAACAGCCTTAGTTAACAGCTGACAATGATGTCTGGAACAGCTTTAGTTAACAGCTGACAATGATGTCTGCAACAGCCTTAGTTAACAGCTGACAATGATGTCTGCAACAGCCTTAGTTAACAGCTGACAATGATGTCTGCAACAGCTTTAGTTCACAGCTGACAATGATGTCTGCAACAGCTTTAGTTAACCGCTGACAATGATGTCTGCAACAGCTTTAGTTAACAGCTGACAGTGATGTCTGCAACAGCTTTAGTTAACCGCTGACAATGATGTCTGGAACAACTTTAGTTAACAGCTGACAATGATGTCTGGAACAGCTTTAGTTAACAGCTGACAATGATGTCTGCAACAGCCTTAGTTAACCGCTGACAATGATGTCTGCAACAGCTTTAGTTAACCGCTGACAATGATGTCTGGAACAACCTTAGTTAACAGCTGACAATGATGTCTGGAACAGCCTTAGTTAACAGCTGACAATGATGTCTGGAACAGCTTTAGTTAACAGCTGACAATGATGTCTGGAACAACTTTAGTTAACAGCTGACAATGATGTCTGCAACAGCTTTAGTTAACAGCTGACAATGATGTCTGGAACAGCCTTAGTTAACAGCCGACAATGATGTCTGGAACAGTTTTAGTTAACAGCTGACAATGATATCTGCAACAACTTTAGTTAACCGCTGACAATGATGTCTGGAACAGCCTTAGTTAACAGCTGACAATGATGTCTGCAACAGCTTTAGTTAACAGCTGACAATGATATCTGCAACAACTTTAGTTAACAGCTGACAATGATGTCTGGAACAGCTTTAGTTAACAGCTGACAATGATGTCTGCAACAGCTTTAGTTAACAGCTGACAATGATGTCTGGAACAGCCTTAGTTAACAGCCGACAATGATGTCTGGAACAGCCTTAGTTAACAGCTGACAATGATGTCTGGAACAGCCTTAGCCAACAGCTGACAATGATGTCTGGAACAGCTTTAGTTAACAGCTGACAATGATGTCTGGAACAGTTTTAGTTAACAGCTGACAATGATGTCTGGAACAACTTTAGACAATATTTTTGCATGGCCTCTAATATTCTAACAATGTTCCACTGTTTGATTGAAGATGTATAATTTTTCGTCAAATGAGTTGGGTTTTTCAATCCTTTAAAAATATTCAAGTCTGATGTCTTGAAAAAACTTGAAACTTTGTTTTTTCAAACACTGATAAAAAGATGAATGTAACATATGACTTAAGACAACAACATCAACTTGCAGTTGATAACATTATTAGGATGGGTCATATACTGGAACGGAAATCAGCAAGTTTACTTATGCCGCCACCAGTTTGTGCCAGGCTACATTGTTAGCTGAAGTGTCGTGAAGAAGTGTGACAGCGTGTCTCACCTGTCTTGAGGCTGTCCATGATGACCCCAACACTGTACTGTTTCAGCCAGTCACCTGCAGCAGTCACCAGGTGGTCATTGTAGTGAGGCTGGAACTCCTCACAGATGCTGTAACACTTCATGATGTATTTGATGTGACTAATCTGACGTGGAACTATCTTCTTCATTACTTCAACCAGGAAGGCTGGGATACCAGCAGGCTGTTCGGGTACATCCTTAGCATTGATGGTGAGACTTCCTAGGCTGTACCTGATCTTCCCTGTGGTGGTGATGTCCTAACAAGGAACATATGTTATGTAGGACTTCTAGGTTGTACATAGGCACAATGTGTGAAGCCCGTTTCTGGTGTCCCCCGCCGTGATATTGCTGGAATATTGCTAAAACAGCATATAACCAAACTCACTCACTCTCTCTAGGTTGTAAAACCATTACTCATGATTCATGGCCATTTTAGTCAGAAGGGCCATGAGGTACCAAACACTTATGAGTGCAATCAGTTGAGATTCATATTGTCAGGTCTTTCTATGTAAGAGTCACCCCTCAGAGCTTCTGTTGTAGTAGCATGGATGCTGTCACAAGATGGCCGTATATATTTGCAAGATTAACCATTACATATAAAATAAACTGTCAGATTAAACAAACCATACACTTGAAACTTGGATTTGCCCACAAAATCACATATGTTACTGAAATATTACTAGACTGCAGTCCCTGAAACAAGTTGGTTAGAAACACACCAATGTCAAGTACATCACCATCAAATAACCATTTCTTGTTTGTTCCACTTTAAGCCACCATCAAACACAGGTGTAGGCTTTCTTTGGCCAAGCAGTTTATATTCAGTTTGTAATAAAATTATGTTCTGGAACAGAAGAAGGATCACTGATGCACTCTAATACAGGTTTCATGAATGATAGTCTGTTTTTTGTCATGCTATACAGTAAATGTTTTCATCAGAATCTCAATTATAATGGAAATGATATACTCACTATGGTGGAGTCGAGAACACTGGACAGGAACTGTCGTAAATTATTCTTGTTTGATGTTGCTGGTGCTCTCTGTGCTTGTGCTGTTTGTCTGTGTGTACTTGATACTAAGTCCTCAGTGGAATCAGCAGATCCACCTTGTGATATATCTGGTTTCCCTCTTACAATCTGTTTCTGGTTATGTTGGGGCTGATCAGACATCTCTGCTGGGTCTGTACCAGTAAGACTGATGCCAACTTTCATCTGGGACTGGGTAGACATACTTTCACACTGGGTAAACATACTTTCACACTGGGTAGACATACTTTCACACTGGGTAGACATACTTTCACACTCGTCTGTTTGTTCAACTGGCTTCAGCTGATCAGATTTGTCTTCACTCTTCTCAGCTTGTTGGTCAGTTTTGAATTCTGGTTTGTCTGTAGTGTTTTGTAATGTTTGTGTGTCGTCTGTTGGAACTAGGTCAGGTCTTGATATTTGTGCTTTGCTCTTTGTATTATTTCTGGCAGTAGATAATGGTGTGGATTGTTTGGAATTGTTCAACCTTCTCTGTTGATTGTGAGCCACATTCTGACTGGACATCTTGTCTAGCCATTCCTCTCTTCTCTTCAACAATAATCCTGAGAAACAAGTAGCAACAAAATACCATCAGAAAGAGGTTCACAGGAGTTCCCAATATAATGAAATTCTGTCTGGTTTATACAATGCTGTTTCACAGCTAGACTGACATTTAGTCCAAGAAACACTGTATCTTTTCTCAAACTATGTCATTACAAAACAATAACATCCAAACGGAGACCTGAACAATTCAAACTTCAGCTGAGCTTAGGCAACATAGACTTGCCCAATCATTGTACACTTGAGGTAGTCTCTGTTTTCAGTTTATCCTCTAGGGTGTGGAACACTAACCAGATGGGTTGTTAACTCACAATAAGTTCAAGAAGAAACTATCCATTATCTAAAATATATATCTACAAAAACAATAAATACCATCCAAAAGGAGCCAGAACAATTCATCATGTCAGGTTAGCTGAGCATCTAATCTTGCCAAGTAATTCCACAGTTAGACTACAAGGATGTTGAGAAGAATATGTCTTTTCTGGTTCATTCTCGTATCAACAATGCAACTCACTCTCTGCGTCTGGAGACATTGGAGTAGGGGCAGGAGTCTGCTGCCTTTTCATCACGCCAGCAGCAAGCACCAACACTACACCTCCACCAATCACAGACAACAATATATAGTTGGTGGTGTTCTTCTCCGTCTGTTCTGAAGCAGCTACATCAGGCTGAAAGTTGCACACATCAGGATATGAAAAGTACAGGTCACACTTTCTTATTGAAAGGTTGACAGATTTGCTAACTGATATGACTTGATTTGGGAGTTTATTCAAGCAAAACCAAAATATTCAGGATGTTTACTAGTAATATCAGTGGCCCTTTTGTCCAAATATAATGTGGCACAAGATTGTATATAAATTATATAAATTCACATTACTCAATATTATTCAGAAAGTTTCATTTTGCAATTGGATATTACATTTAAATAATCCATCAAAGCACTATAATATTATATTCTATGATTGTGATCTTCTGCAACAATTGTTTGAATGCAAAAAAAACAACAAGTCCTTCTTTATAGTAGCATGGATAAAGTGGGCATTGGAACACTGATTGTTGACATGTAAAGTGTGTACATACATCAAAACATACTTGTCTTACCTTCTCCGTCTCGTCATCTGCTCTGTCAGGATCCTTCCTCAGTTCCTTCTGTTTCCGTCTCACTGCTGATGATATCTCCCCTCTTCCAAGCTCAAGTTCATCCTCGCTCAGCTCTCCATTATCATCTATGTCATACTTTTTCAGAATTGCCTGAATGTCCTCCTACAAGGTACCAACCAGACGATACTGTCTCACTACATAGTTACTGACATCACAGAATGTACACGTAGAGTGGGAGGCAAGCCCAAACTGATGCAGGTGTTAGACATGTATTACTATGATGAAAGATATTAAAGGACAAACCAAGAAACATGAAAAGGTGAATCAGGAATAACACCCACAGGATCCTCTCATGCCTAAGGGAGGTGAGTCTGTACAACAAATTGGGCAGACATAGATGACTTGGCCACCTATCCTTTAAGTTTCAATCAAGGATTCATGATTCAAATGAGCAAGTTGCCACTTTACTGAGAAGTAAGGCTTTGCTCCTGTGTACAAGTTCCTACCTCCTCCAGCAAGTCTGCCAGGCCAATGTCATCTCCTTCTTCAGCATTGTACCAAGCTTCCTCATCAATGCACATGGTCACCACAGTGACCAAAGTTATTACCAATAAAAACCTGAAAATCAATAAAGAGCATATTTACTCAACATAGCTAGGCTTGGCACTCATCAATCAACTAATAAATAGACACATTTTGAAGACTAATTATTAATCATTACAAAGTATGTTACAGACTAAACCAAACGCATTAAAATATACTGATTACATAAATCACATTTGCTGTTAGTGAATGTTTGCCTAATAAATATCAGTTTGACTTGCCAGCCTGTACATAACGTACTAGCTACTAGTATAATATACATAATATACAGTAGATGTTATTAAAGAAATTGTTGCAAGCCTTATTTAGGACTTAAAGGACTTAAACCTTTTAGTGACAATATCATCCCAGAGTTGATGTCCGATAAATACATTGTCATAAGTGTTGATTTTTGAAAATGTTGGCTGTGCCTAATTTTCCACGTTGACTTTACAATTGTAAACAAACAATATTCTCGAGTTTTGCCAAAGAAAAGGACATTAAGGCTGTTGAGAACTTCGACTTTAAACGACACTATTTCTCAACACGTATTCGTAACACTCACCGAAACATTTTAAACGGCTTCAACGGGTGGATCTGTTTTTTAAGTTCCCAGTCCGCTGGCGTCAATTTACAGATACCTCCATTTCTGCAACAGTTGGTTGTGTGTAATGTCTCAACACCACGTCAAGGTAACATGGGGTTTCCCCGTGCAAACTCCTTTCTCGCTATTAGGATTCGCTATCCTGAAAAACTAGAGATGGTGGCCTGTTAGGAGTACGGAATAGAGGCACGTTTAGGGTTTCTTATTTAAAGCAATACACTAAGACACATGTTCTTTTTGTTAAACAGAAGATATGCCTATAAAAAAATTGCAAAGTAACCAATTATGCTCGTACACACACACACACACACACACACACACACACACAGAGAGAGAGAGAGAGAGAGAGAGAGAGATATTTAAAGATATATGTATTATATTAAAAAAGATATGCCTATAAAAAAATTGCGAAGTAACCAATTATGCTCGTACACAGAGAGAGAGAGAGAGAGAGAGAGAGAGAGAGAGAAAGAGAGAGAGAGAGAGAGATTACTGGTTCAGTTTGGATGCAACCGTAATACTTCTGTTTTACTTCACTTAAAACCAGAGACCATATAATAGATTATATTATCTATTATATGGTCTCTGATAAAACTAACGTAGTGCTTTCGCTTTTTGAAACTCATCGTCTGTGCGCCGTGGGTTTCATGTTCATAGAAGTGTCGCGGAACAGTTGCGAGACATTTAATATTCATCAATGGACAGGATCATCTTCACCTACTTTTTAAAGCACCAGGCTTTAATAGTGAAAAATGACCACATTGGTAATCATAAAACCGCAATGTAAGCCCAGGGATCCGTGAAGATCCGGGTTGGAATTGATCTTCAGTAACCCATGGTTGTCGTAAAAGGCGACTAACGGGATTGGGTGGTCAGGGTCGATGTCATCGTATCCCAATGCTGTTGATCACTGGATTGTCTGGTCCAGACTCGATTATTTACAGACCGCCGCCATATATAGCTGGAATATTGCTGAGTGTGGCGTAAAACTAAACTCACTCACTCACTTTCCAGGTAAGCCTGGAAGGCACAGCTGTCCAAGGTCTACAGACAGGAGGCGGTAAAACCCTGGACCTACGTTTTCGAAGCCCTCCTAGTATTAAGATGGTCGTAAGTGCCATACATCAACATTAACTTACGACTGTCTTAGCTCTAAGAGCGCTTCGAAAATCTAGGCCCTGGCTGATATGGAGGGGCTTGAGGTGAGAAATGTCGGAGAAAATATGTCCCTGTGTCCCTACTCAATTAGGCCCGGGACTTAAATTCGGGAATTGCACATACTGAATGAAAAGGAACAGGCACAGTTTGATATTAATGTTTCTCATGCACTAAAATGTTTTCTGCTATCTTTAAAGTCACATGGAACTTCTATACTATATTTTTACTGGAATAGTGTTAAACAAGTCAACTGCACTGGTTTGTTTCACTAAAAGTCCTAAGTCAGACCTTTATCACACTCAGAGAGTTGCGGAATATGTCTGATTAAAAAGAATTCCAAGTTGATAGAAGTGTTAGTCTGTGTGAAGTATCTTGCCTGTCTACTGAGTTCCGAACACATGGAAATCCCTGGTTGCACTATGGACGTAGTATATACCGACGTTCGCAATGTGCTTTTATCAAGGAGCATCACTCCAAACAATAACACTGAAAATCTTAATTTAGCCCCACGGGCATAGAACGGAGTGAAATCACGATTTTAGGCCTATGGGCTCAAATACAGGAAATCCATCACTGTGTGATGTGCCCTCATCAAGGCAACCATATTCGGTTAGAGCAACTCTTGAATCGACACACCGAAGTGCCACATGAACAACTTATACTATCTGGGCGGTGACCAACTACTGGCATGGCATGACCGTAGGACTGACTGACTGACTGAGTTCGGTTTTACGCAGCTTTTTAGCAATAGTCCAGCAACATCACGGCGGGGGACACCAGAAATGGGCTTCGTGCACATTGCCCATGTGGGGATTCGAACCCGTGACGAGCTAACGCTTTAACCACTAGGCTACCCCACCACCCCCATGACCGTAGGAAACCGGCTGAGGAAGCACACCAATGGTCACACGCCTGGGAAACAACACAGTTCATCTAATGGTAATTTGAATAATCTACAGTACCCGGATGACAACGTCCGGAATTCATGATGGTTCACCTTTTGTGTTGTGCAAATGACAGGATTAGAAAAAATAAACTAATGTTATTCATTTGTATAGCGCTGATTTCCAATGTAGCACTGCTCAAAGGCGCTGTTGTCCATGAGTCTACATTTATGTTTTGTTGTAGTGGGCACAAAACAAAGGAGTCTTTAGTTTTGATTTGAAGACATCCAGCATCGGACTTGTTCTGATCTCTTCTGGCAAATTGTTCCACAGCAATGGTCAAGCAATTGCGAAAGATCTGTCACCGTAACTCTTGGTTCTGGATTTGTGCACTTTAAGCAGATGTTGAGTGGTAGATCGCAGGGTGCGGGGAGGTTCGTATGGCTGAACAGATGTAAGCTGGAGCAAGATGAAACTGTTTTTGTATACAATTTTTTCATCTTGCTCTCATCGGTCAAGCAATGTAGGGACTATAAGAGCGGACGTGACATGTACGTATTTGCTAGCTCGATGAATAACCTTGGCTGCTGTGTCTTGTATCGGCTGAAGTCTCTCAAGTTGATGTTTTGGTAAGTCATATATAGGAGGGAATTACAGTAGTCAAGCTGTGAGATAACTAGGGCCTGCATAAGCGAAGCAGAAACATCCTTACTGATGTATTTTCTGACAAGCGAACTATTCCTGATATTTGCATAGGCCCGTTTGCAGACCTGTTTGGTGTGCAATCGAGGCTGAGAGTCGAGTCAAAGTGCACAGCAAGATTTCTCGCATCTGAACTGGGAGTGATGATGCCAATCACCAATGGTGATGGTTGGGATCTTCAGTTTATATGCAGTTGACTTTGGCACAGAATCAAGAGTTCTGTTATCGTCATTTAACTTTAAATAGTTTTCAGCCATCCATGTTCGTATGTCGCTGATGCAGCTGGACAACGTTTAGAATGCAGAGTTGAGTGAAGAATTTTGGAGAGGCTTGAAGGCGTGTCATCCGCATACAAATGAAAGGCCAGTCTATATTATCTGGCTATGTCACCCATGGGAGCAGTGTACGTGTATACCGCAAAGAGCAACGACCCTAAAACGGACCCCTGGGGTACACCGTATTTGAGCTTGACCTTCCTTGAGGTGTGACCATCGATAGAAACGTCTTGATATCTTTCTGATAAGTATGATGGCATCCACTTCAGAGCATTGTCATTGAGTCCACATCTGTGTCCAAGAGCTAAAAGAAGAGTGTCATGCTTCACCCGTGTTAATTGCTGCGGACAGGTCAGCCGGTCCATCCCGGTCCACAGCCTCAAGATCATTGTACACCTGCAGAAGCGCTGTTTCCGTGCTGTGACATTCTCTGTATGCCGACTGCATGGGCTCAAAAGATCCATTTAGCAGCACATGTTCTCTGAGTCTAGAGGCAACTACTCGTTCTGCGAGCTTTGAGATGTAGCTTAGATTTAACACCGGACGGTAGGTTTTGAGCACTTCTGGGTCCAGATGAGGTTTTTTAAACAGTGGTGATAACAGCGCTGTTTTTGTCTTTGTTGGTGCGACACTTTCAGAGAGAGAGAGAGAGACAAGATAACTATGTTTGTACAGCAGGTGTTGCAACTTCAACATTTTATTTTAGGATCCATGTTGGAATAGGGTCAAGCTGGCAGGATTTACAAGGGCTTTTTCTTATCAAATGCGGAGCCTCTGCTTCAGTAGCTGGTCTGTAGTTGTAGAGATAAGATTGTATACGTGATGCTTGTATTTCCAATGCTGATCTCTGACGAATACTTTCAATATCCCAATATATGGTATTGACCTTTTCAGAAAAGAAATCGCAAAGGATGTTACATCAGTTGAATCAGGGAGACTATATTGTAGAGTATGCCTGGTTGAATGTATATCTTGTACTTGGGCTCTAGGCCTTACTATCTGTACCTGGATAAACGTGGATCCCGTGGGGTTTTAGCCTTGAGGTTGTTGAGAACTTTTTGTAAAATTAGACTTCTAAAATATTTCATTTTTTTCACTTGAACAGAAATATTTATGCTTACTCCACACAAAACTCACAAGAGTAAAGGATGGCATGTGAATGGGCATGTGCGCAATACTTGCTGAACATTGCTATAACATTGCATAATTTCAGGTCGTAGATGATTGGTGACTATCTTGAAAGTAAGGTGACCTGACGTTTCGTTGAACAGCTTCTTTGCGTCCCCATTTAAAATAAGCAGTGACAATGCACAACAGTATCTTGTGGACTGGACTGTGTCTTATGAGGAAATGACCTGCGTGGAACGTTAGAAAAAGCGCATCACATTGTTCTCATGTGGGAGTCAACCACATGCCCATAGAATACTCTCACCAGATGACTACCAGAATCTGTACCTCAGCCTTAGTCGTATGTAATGATAGGTAGGTGTATTTCAGTTAAAACATAACATTTTGGCTATTGAAATGGTGTAGTACAGTGCAAGTTCAGATAATTACTTCAGAGCCTGGAATGAATCAATGGTCATGTGGATACTGATCATGACTGATGGGTGAAATAACAGACAGATAACTAATTTTGTGTGTCTCTCCGGATGGTGAATTTTGGGTTTTGTCCATTCTCTACATTTGTGCCTACTGGACCCACATTTGTGCCTGGCGTAAAAACCCTGATCCACTCTGCAAGGTCCACTGATAACATCAAAAAGCTACCATAAGCATACATGTTGGTGGTTTCAAAACTACATGTCAAACCAGGTCATGTCTGGAGCCTGGACTGATGCAAGTAGGGTACAATTTGGTGTTGCATGTAAACAGTCCTTTCTACTGAAACAGTCCTGTGCCTGAAATAGTTGGAGAATAATCGCATCTTCAGCAGGGGATGAGGAAAGTGCTCATAATTGGGATAAGCATAGCAATAACATTCAACAAAATTTGAAAACAAAATTTTGAAAAACTTTTTTATTTACAGCAACTTATTTGATGTATTTATTCAAACGCTAAACAAGCATGCTTCGCACCTTGAAACATACATATTACACACCATGTACACAGTTATAGACAAATAACACTGCTCTGCTTATTAGTATACACATTATTAAGGTGCATCTAGATGCCAGTAGAACACTTGTCACTGACAGGGTAATATGGCATGTACACAAATACATAAGCCTCACGGACTCACAGTAGAAACATGTAGTAATGTAATTAAATAATTGATCATAATGTACATACACCTTTAATGTCAAAGGTATTATAAAAAATAATACATTTTTCGAATTTCTACAAGTGCTTGTGAAAAGAGGTTTAACGTTTTAGATATGTTTTCACAACCTAATCAAGATTACTTACACAAATTATGAAAGGAGAAATGATTACCATTACAGTAAACACAATAAATCTCAGTTTATCCAGGAATACATAGGCGGATCCAGACGGGGGTGCACAGCCCCCCTTTTGTCCTGAAAGTTTATTAAATCAAAGGTGGATCCATTTGGTCTCAGGTGGAAATGAACTAGAGCACACACACACACCCCTTTTCTTAAAAAGCTGTATCCACCCTTGAAATAAAAATATTCTAAATATTTTCTCAAAACACACCATACACTTGTCATCTAGAAGATGGTATGATTGCTCGAAGAAAACCCTTTTCAAAGCAATGCTATTTCAATTACCAACATGATGTGGTAAAACTATCTTCTTAACTCATGCCACAAATCATTGAGGGTAACTAAACAAAATGCATACAACAATGTAATACGTCATTGAAACCACAAAGTTGGGGAATCACTGTTCCAAGTGATCAGTTCATCAGACCAAATCAGTATGAACACTTAACCCCATCAATGTCTTATGAAACCTGGACCAGAAGTACCCCTATATTTTATCTCAATACATGCATTGTTTAAGTTCTGTATACATACTTTCTATAAGAAAACTACAAAAATACATGGAAGACCTATGCTTGTAGTAAGTCTCGGGAACAAAAATGTTATTTTCCAAAAACAACATGCATATACTGCCATTATGCAAACTTTCTAACATAATATTCACTCATATTACTTCAGGATATGTATCCAAGTGTCACCATAGATGTGTCATAAGTGGCTTCACTAACAGGACAACAAAGGATAATTTTACACTTGAAAAAATAGTTTCTTCATAAAGTTTCACCAGATTGCTGTTTGTTAAATCTAGCTATTTAATCCTACTCAGATTAAATTCAGACTGAAAGATCAATTTCTAAGGTTAACATAATATATATAACAGATTTCTTTTGTTGTATTTTGTAATTTAATTGTAATGCATGGCAAATGATATTCCATGTTATATTTATTCCTACCTAGTTTGTGACAGTAGAAGAAAACCTAACAATACACTCATACACATATGTGAATACAAGACCATAAAATGATCATTTTAAAGGATATAGTTACATTAAGTCATTCACACAAGATAATTCTATTACAACTTAAATTGATATTTAACACATCAGCATGATTATAAGGCAATTCATAAGACAAAATAAAACAAAGAAATGAATCATAACCTTACACATCAATTCTTATGACCAATTGTAGATGCATCCCAGTATTGTAGTAAGAAGTCATAACTTCATCAGAGTGAGTTGGAATCCTTAGTTATCGAGTGTATTGAAACCCCATTCTATCTTGATCAATACCCTATACATGTACAGAGGTACAGATAAGCTGCGTATTTGCGTAAATTACGCAAATATTTATGTGAAATCTCAATTCCTTTCAAGTCTGTTGCGTACAAGTACGCTTCAATTTTTGTAAATACTCAATAAATGCGTTCTTACATGCATACACACAAAAATGTCAAATCTTAGCTTGCGTACATGTGGATAGAGAAAATAATTGAGGTATATTTAGAGTTTCTATTTCAGGACATGAACTTGACAGCTTGCAGCCTTTCTTAGCGTTTCTCATATTACAGATCAAATATAAACAACAACCACTAACATTTAAACTTGATTATATTTTCAAATTTCATGGAAAATGTCAAAATACCCAATTGAGCCTGAGTGAGGTGAGTACAATTTATTTGGTTACTCAAAGGAAAATTAGGATACCCAATTGAGCTGAACAGAAGCGAGGACATGAGTCAATGACCCAAAAAGTTATCTGTAGCTCTGATATAGCTTCAATTTGACATCCTCAGCTCCACCACTAAACACGGACATTCCCTCACACATGAACTTGAAATAATCAACCAATCCAATCACTACTCCTGTACACTGGTTCAGCATAGCTCTATATCCAACTTTCCTCATCCCAGTGACCATGCAATATTTCTTTGTATATGATTGTTAAGCTGGAGATGGTGATTTCTTTCAATGGGTAGAGGGAAGACCCCTTACTTCAAGGTGTTCCAGGTTTACAGCAGACAAGACTAGCACTGATGTTATCGCTGCTTGTTTAAATCACCCAAAAAATCCAGTGTAATCAGAATGGATGTCTTGATCTAGCATCCTGTCATTGAATCTAACCAAAAATAGATATGGTGGCTGACGGGTGCAAGGAATATATCACAATAAAATGGGTATACACTAATTTCACAAGGATACATGGTGTTGGCAAAATTCCATTTGGAAACTTTCCATGTTATCTCTTCCGAGTTAATTGTTGTAACAAAGTCGAAATATTTTCTGACAGAACCAAATATACTTGATAAAACTGCAATTTCTCTCAACACCATTGAGGCAAAAGCTAAACAAGGACATTAAGCACAGATTTATGATATGCCTCTCACACAACTAAACATACCTCAAATTCAAAATTCTTGTCATGCTCTTAGACAATGAAAAATACTGAGCTGCATCATATTCATATTCAAAGTAAAAATAAAAGTCTGGGAACAAAATCAACTTATGTGTTAGAATTCATAAAACCATCACAAAGAATGTTTAATAACACTTTAAAGTACACTTAAAATCCTTTCGATACAGACAAAACAACATCCAAAATGCTTCTCAGTAAATGCAACATAAGCTTGAAAAATCATGTAGAACATTCAACTGTGGGACCCTAGATCACCGTTCACTTCAATTGCTGGCTTCAACAGCAGTGGCAGGAACTGAGACATCTGCTTCTGATGAACCTTCTTCCATCTCAATCTTCATCTGCATCTTTGAGCCTCCATACTGAGATGAGTCACCACCTGCATCCACCGCAGAATCAATCTGAGAAACTGATGGCTTTATATCTGCAACCTCAAAATCTTTTCTCACACAAAATTCTTGCACTTGAGGTTTTCTCCTCTCATCATCTTTAACATCAGTGCTCTGTGCAGGGTTTGAAGTGTCAGTTTCATTCAATGACACATGTTCCAAGTCTCTTGTTATTTCTACTGCTACGTTTGGTACACTTTTTGAAACACTGGAACTACTTTCCAATATATGATCTTGAGAGTGAGCAATTGCTGTAAGTTTGTCCTCTGGTATTCTAGGTTCACTTTTAGTTTCTACCAAATGTTGACTAACTTCACTGGCATCAGTGTCAGTAGGATGACTGAACATGATTCTAGGCGAGTCTTCAGTAGTTTTACTTAAGTGATCAGAAGAAATCATATTCTGATCTGGTTCAGAATTTGCATCACTGATGTTAATGTCAGTTGATTGCACAAATGAATCGCTCTGTTGGTTATTGCTAGCACTGTGTTCTTGTGAGGCTTTGTATGTAGCACTCTCATAGGGAGGTAACTCGGCCTGTTGAGAGTATGCTGTCAGGCCAGGATCTCCATCACCATCACTACTGTCAGGAACTGGAGATAAATTTGTCTCCCCTTCCCTGTCCATTTCAGCACCAACAACTGGATGACCAGCCCGTGATGACTCTTCCCTCTCATAAGCAGTCCTTCCATTCTTCTTGTGCTCCTGTGATGTAAAATCATTTATCCATGTAAAATATCAGAATATCCTCTAAAAGCAGAAATACTTGGTTATGTGTTCTGTGCCATGGCATCAGAACTGGACCATGAAGACATTGAAAACATGTACCTACTACAACCATACACAAACTAGACTGAAACATGTTTGAAGATTTCAAGAACTGAAAAGGCTGAATACAAATTAGGGACAAATACACGTTACTTACAATAGGGTTTACTATAGGTATGGCAGCCTTAGGTCTCTTCTGCGGTGATCTGTTAGGACTTGGCTGCTGCAACTCTGGGGCATAGTAAGTGGTGCCACCTCTGAACAATTCCTGCCCTGTGTTGCTTGGAGGAGCAGGAGCAGCTGCACCCTATACAAAGAAAGACAAATACTGATACAGTTTGGGTCTGACCATCACTATTTCACACAACTTGAAGCTTGAAGATAAGATTAAGTACATATTATTTATAGACATATGATTTGCTCTTTTATTTTGACATTCTATTATCTGCACAAGATAATTATCACTGAAAATTAATTGACCGGTCAGCATTTCACAATTTTAGATGCAGAAGGGTACTGATGTTGTTATATCTGAAAAGACAATCATATTTTTTAGATCAAATGAAGGCTGCAGCAGATCCTTTAAATGTTATACCTGCTGTGGAGGGGGAGGCGGAGGTGATGGGAATCCAACTGTCATTGGGTATGGTCCTGGGGGAGCCCCATACACAACCTGTGGCACTCCAGGAACACCTGTCCCCAGGAACTGTGGCTGTATGATGGCAGAGGGTGCAGTCATGGTGACGGCTGGGGCAGGGCCTGGGGCATACAACCGTGGGGGGACATTTGGCAGACCCGCTGTAGACACTGGAACATACCACAGATTGTTAAAGAATGTGATGTAACAAGCATTTCATTTTACACCTGAAATGGTATGATTAGGTCAAAGGTCACAACAAAGGTATTTTAAATGAAACACAATATTTTACATGTCTGAAGATCTTATCTATGACGAGGATTGTCCATTTCCCATGGAACAAAGCACTGAAAACCAATTGCCTGGCTAGAATGGCCTACCTGGTAGTGGAAAGCCCATGGGAGGCTGTAGTATTGTTGTCTGGAAGCCAGCTGTGTCTTGGGGCTGAGGCTGAGGGAGACGTGGAGGTGATGGCTGTGGTGGTTGTGCAACAGACTGCTCAGGGCGGTACATAGGTGGAGTGTAGGCTGGGGCAGCTGCAGGGAGAGAGGACAGGGAGGGTGAGCGTGCAAGGCATCAACACTAATGTGTCTGCTTACTCAACATATCTTACTCATCAAACATACCTCATCAGGACTACCATGCTCATAGAACAACACCTTTACACTATAATAATTAGAGAGCAATAAACTTTTGAGTCCTTACCAGGATTGTAATATGTTCCACTGTCTACAGACACCTGATCTGAGTAGTTGACATCAGGGATGTTCCTCTGCCGCTGAGAGGAGTAACGTTTAGGTCGACTCTGCTGCGCCATGTCTGGTTTAGCAGCTGTGTTCTGAAGGCGTGGGGGGAACTGCTGTTTGTCAGCTATTTTACTGGAACCACTTTGCTGGGCTGCTGCTGTAAGGGTCAATTACAATAAGGATTAGATATGACCATGTTCTGCTAGTCCTCGACTATAGATTATCTAGAGGGGAAAGACAAATCAATTATGTATGAATTTCTCTCCATTAACCTCACATTAAGTAACTGTATCATGCTATACACAAAACTTCCACATTTACCACTTAAGTGTAACGTTTAACTTACTTTATGTTCAGATACACATACCTCGACCATTGTTTTCCTCTGGTGGGGCCTTTGCAGGACTTTCGATGGCCATAGATCCAACATTGGGGTCAATAGCATTAACCACTGTGTCCTGCACCCTCGTTCGACCTACAACTTTACTGCGGCGATCCTTAGAATAGGATTTCTTCTCCGTGGTAGTGTTTGTAATCGTCACACTTATAGTTTGAACATTTTCTTTGTTGGAGATGATAACATCCTGACTCTGAGACTTCTCCTTAATTTCAGAAGAGTCTGATTCACGTTCTACTTGAGGGTCTTGATCTGCATCCTGTCCAGGGTTTTTCAACGTAGTGTTTGTAAACTCTCTAGGTGATGTGGACTGGCGGGGCCGACTTGGAGCAAATGATGTTTCTGGGGAGTCAGAATATCTGCCTCTATTGCCCCTGCCTCTTCCTCCACGACCACGCCCTCTTCCCCGAGAATTATCCATATTATTCCTCTGTACGTAATCTGATTGGTATTGATTGTTGTAATCAGAATGTCCCCTGTAGCCAGATCGTGAGTCCGCTTGGTTTCTGTAATCCTGTGATTTTTCAGGAGACACTCTATAATCTTGACTAGACCTACTCCCATAGTCCTGATTTCTGTAATCCTGGGATCGATGTTCCAGGCGATAATCCTGGGATCTGCCATCTGGGGCTTGATTACGATAATCTTGTGACTGGTTGTGGTAATTTTTGGCTCTTGTTTCATACTGAGAGCGATTATCTTGATTCCTGTAGTCAGGGCCTGTTCGGATTTCAGTCCTGTATTCTCGCGGTGACCGCATATCATTCTCATTGGCAAGATCACTGTATGAGGTCCTGTTATCTAGCTCTGTTTTCATTCGTTGACTTGGGACAAAGTCCCCAAGTCTCCTTTGTCCTCGTCGGCCTCTAATCAAAATAGAATAAATACACTCATTGTCTGTTAATTGTTCTATTTTCTACATAACATACAGAATGAAGACAACCTATGCTAGCGTAAAGTAGGGTTTATCCCATCTTTGAAAAATATCTTTGGTTTATCAGGGCATGTCAGCTTGGTATGGGAAGAAGCGAGAAGTAATGCAGGATCTGGCCATTTCTTACTGTTGTTAAACCCATGCTTATAGGTAGTGTCAAGCCAAGGATCATAATCCAAGGTAATATGTGATCCTTATCTGCACCAGTGAGTCCTGACAAAACCAAAGCATGCAACTCATCCCCTTTCACCCATGCCTTTTGAAAACCTGTTTCAAGATGGTCCAACGAAATGTTTTGGTATGTGTGATGGTATGGTTGTAGTCAGTATGAATAATGGAAACAAATTGTCAAACCAGCAGATTTGTCTTGTATAAAAGCTAGGAATTCATACCCTCTCTTTCCCATTCCTCGTTTAGGAGCACTGTCAGGTGGCTTATCATAGGCACGAATATCATAACCATAGATGGCTATCAGCTCTTCTCGAGACTTTGGTGCTTGCTGGTCATCCCGATAACGATCATGCAGCCATTTTTCCTCATCCTTCCATAACTTCTTCTTTGGTCTGAAATAATTGCATACCAACAAATGAGATGGAAATCGTGAAATCTCAGCGATAAGGTGCTGGTTCCAGAAATATTTTGGGGAATTAAAGTGTAAGGGATCCTGCTTACCTTTGATCGTCTTCCTCTTCCTTCTGCTGGGTCTCCCCACCTCCATGCATGCGAGTATCGTGCTCATAGAAGGCCCCTTTTCGAGGGATGTAAGCAGGATTCTTCCGGTCTTCATCATCATCAAGATTCTTACCATCCTCTTGCTGTTCCTGCAAACAAGATAAAGTTGGAGGATTCAGCAGGAGCACTGATTGAGGAAATCTATAATACTATGAATTTCACAATCCAATAACTTTCTTACATATCTCTAATGATTAAAGTGATTGTTATGAACAAGAATGATGACAACCATTTCCACACATCTGTCCACAGTTAGTAATACATGTATTTGACTACTCTGTCAATGTATTCATGAGGTTGTCTGTCATATACACATTCTTCACATTAAATTCCTCCATGTTACACATAAACCATGGTTCACCGAGACCTTCATAGATTGCTGCTGGTTTAAAAGCCATAATGTTTAGAGACCCTGATCTGATATATTAAATGATAGATGCATTACTTGATAACTAGCTTTCAACATACCTCTCCATCACCACTTTGCCTCTCTTCTTCTACCCAGCTGCCATCATCCTCTATGATGACATCATCGTCATATGCTTCTTCATCATCATCTTCCTCTTCATCATCATCGTCATCATCTGAATCTGAATCTGTCTCTTCTGATGAGTCCGATTCTTCTTCACTATCCTCTTCATCCTTCAGTAAAGTTGTTACCAATATAGATGACCAGATATTTTTTTTACAGAAAGAGAATACTACCTATCTATGGACTTTTAAAAGTGCAAATTGCACTGAATACTTGATACTATGGCAGAACATAACCATATTATTGGCTAATACAGAATCAGCAAATTCTCTGGAACACTAAAAAAACATATCGACAACCACTAAAATAACAAATATTGGACAGGTGTTAATGTAAAATAATTAAACAGAGGAGAAAGAATGTATTGGTTTCAGATTTCCACTATTCTGGTGACACTTTTGAAAACACATGACCTACCTCTTTTACTTTCTTTTCTGATGCACTCCCATTCTCAGAAAGCACATCTGCAATTGGTTAACATAAGGTCAATATAATCACAAGTTAAATCTTCAACAAATTTGAGACTAGAGGTTCATGTAACAATAGTATTAATACAAACCAGAAAACTACCATGAATAATTGCACAAAAGAAATCATTTGTCTTAGCCAAGCATAAGTGTGTTCATTTACAATAAAACCCATTTAATGTTACAAAAATGACAAGGTCATTGGGTTTTTCTTATCAGTATCGCTTTCAATGATCCACGGCTTGTAGCTATAGACAAGGTTTCACATACAATTTGGTTTGTTGGACAAAGTAACTAAGTGTAAACATGTAATTACCTCCTCCATTGCCTTCTCCTTCACTTTCCTGAAAAAAAATAGACAAAAGATTCTATTTCAGAAAATAATATAGTGTGTTAGAATTGGCTTACACTAAAGATTAGCAGATCATTTAAGACCCTTTTCAGTCTCCCTGCACACATATTTGATTAATTAAAGAATGAAGCTCAAATAAGGTCTTCACAACTTGACTTTAGTGCATTAGTCAACAGCTGACAAATAATGCAACAAACAATCTGAAGGAATTATACTAAACATTCCAAGAGACACCGGTAAACTTTTCATAGAACAATGACTATAGAAGCAATATAAGAACAAGAAACAATGATCAACTCTGCAGCAACACAGTAACCTGCCTTAATTAAAATAGCAGCAACACACTAACCTGCCTTAATTAAAATGGAAAAACGTGCAACACACGTATATATATTTTAACTGCACAGACAAATGTAGATGAAATTTGAAATGCATGAATTTCCAACGCAATCAGCCTTTTAAAAACATAAATAGTTTATTTATAACTAATATAAGTAGACCACAAAAGACACTGATAGAATAAAACGACACATAAAGATGATGTATGAAAAAAGTTAATTTGACATGTTAAACATTTTTAAGTTGCCTGTGCTTGTAAAGACATTATGATAATAATCAAATCACTCATCAAAGAGACAAATACTAGTACCGACACAAGTTTGCAAGCACTGATCTATATGCCCATACTGGGATGTGATTATGATCGAATGGTTATAGGCCACCCAAGACTTGAGAAGCTTGCTTATGTCCACTTTGATCCCATCGTGATAAAAAGAAGGGCAAGTAAAAACGGTTCATCATATGTATACAAAACATGCAACTTTCCATGATAACAAATCTACTTTTCTAACATTTTGTAGATGTCTCATCAAGAAACCAGTGCCCGTTATCTGACGGATGAGGCATACTTATCAAGGTAAGAACAGAGTTCACTCTACTGTGTCCTTAAATCTATACAGAACAGTTCATTACCTTTCGGCGCGTGAATACAACTGTCGGAATGAACAATATTAACTAGGATTACCAAGTTTTTGAATGAATGAATTCTAAAAATGCGAAACATTCTGAACTTTCATTTGACGAGACTTGGCTTCTGCGAAACGATTTGACATATCTACATTATTTCCTCCGGTAGTAATTCGCGTGAAAAGAATAACTAACACATTCAGAAGCTCTAGTTTTGGTAGAACCCTCTTTCAGGGTATCGGCCGCCCCGCCTTCATCTTCTCCTCCATCTTCTCTTCGCCTTCTCCGACGTCTATCCGCCATTTTCTTAGCATGGCAAGTGTGATCTCGTCTGTAAACGGGATTTCGCTAACTACTCATACCCGAAACAGTTATCTCCCGTTATATATTGCGTTTGCACTTGCAGTGATACCTAAACAGTAGTTACCATGGTTTTACTGCTTGGCGTGGCGTAAAAACGTACGACAGGAATGGAATACACATTTTCATCTGTATATCAATGCAATCTTTGTAAACAATATCCTTTTAAAGAAAGATAGCGTTATTTACTATATAGAATGGTGTATTCAGTTCAACAGTAAATAGTTTATCTCATATATATAATTTGTTATTTATTTACAAAGATTATTTAATTATTACTTTGTAAACATAGCAGTTTAATTCTTGAAATAAACAAAACAATACTACAATTTTGTTCAAGCCATTTTCCCCCCTCCTTGTGTTTTCTTAATCAGATTAAGGCATTCTTGCTCAGGCCGCAATGGAAATTGTTAAGGGCGTTGGCTTTGAAAAATATGAAGTCATAGCATAAACACATTCTACAATCGACAAGAGCTAGAGTAAAAGACGTAATTACTTCATGCACCAATCGCGGATATGCCACTTTATTGATTCAACTACCTCAATTAGGTATGTGTGGTAAGATTCAACTAACGGGATGGGGTGGTCAGACTCGATGACTGGGTTGACGCATGTCATCGTATCCCAATTGCGTAGATCGATGCTCATGCTGTTGATCACTGGATTGTATGGTTCAGACTCGATTATTTACAGACCGCCGCAATATAGCTAAAATGTTGCTGAGTGCGGCGTATAAACTAAACTCTCTCACTCATTTAGATATGTCTGCCATAAGCTGGAATATCGCTGTGTGCGGCGTAGAACTAAACTCACTCACTCATTAAGATATGTCTGTCATATAGCTGGAATATCGCTGTGTGCGGCGTAGAACTAAACTCACTCACTCACTCATTTAGATATGTCTGCCATATAGCTGGAATATTGCTGTGTGTGGCGTAGAACTAAACTCATTTAGATACTGCCACTGGCACTCATTTAGATATGTCTGCCATATGCGAGCTGGAATATTCATTTAGTGTGTGGCGTAGAACTAAACTCACTCAGCTCTGGAATATTGCTTTAGATATGAACTGCTCACTATTTAGATATGTCTGCCATATAGCTGGAATATTGCTGTGTGCGGCGTAGAACTAAACTCACTCACTCACTCACTCATTTAGATATGTTGGTCATATAGCTGGAATATTGCTGTGTGCGGCGTAGAACTAAACTCACTCACTCACTCATTTAGATAAGTCTGCCATATAGCTGGAATATTGTGTGTGGCGTAGAACTAAACTCACTCACTCACTCATTTAGATATGTCTGCCATATAGCTGGAATATTGCTGTGTGTGGCGTAGAACTAAAACTCACTCACTCACTCCATTTAGATATGTCTGCCATATGGCTGGAATATCGCTGTGTGCGACGTAGAACTGGAAAACTCACTCACTCACTCATTTAGATATGTCTGCCATATAGCTGGAATATCGCTGTGCGCGGCGTAGAACTAAACTCACTCACCCACTCATTTAGATATGTCTGCCATATAGCTGGAATATCGCTGTGTGCGACGTAGAACTAAACTCACTCACTCACTCATTTAGATATGTCTGCCATATAGCTGGAATATCGCTGTGCGCGGCGTAGAACTAAACTCACTCACTCACTCATTTAGATATGTCTGCCATATAGCTGGAATATTGCTGTGTGCGGCGTAGAACTAAACTCACTCACTCAATCATTTAGATATGTTTGTCATATAACTGGAATATTGCTGTGTGCGGCGTAGAACTAAACTCACTCACTCACTCATTTAGATATGTCTGCCATATAGCTGGAATATCGCTGTGTGCGGCGTAGAACTAAACTCACTCACTCATTTAGATATGTGTGTCATATAACTGGAATATCGCTGTGTGCGGCGTAGAACTAAACTCACTCACTCACTCATTTAGATATGTCTGCCATATAGCTGGAATATTGCTGAGTGCGGCGAAAAACCTAACACACTCACTCACTCATTTAGATATGTCTGCCATATAGCTGGAATATTGCCATGTGCGGCGTAAACACGTTACTCATTTAGATATGTATTTAAGGAAAGATGTTATACTCGATCCCGACGTTACAGCACCAGCGTGTGTGTGATAAGATATGGACACACTCGCACTTTTGTGTGGACCTTTAGAATTGAATACTACTCAATTGTGACTGAACCATAAATGACTTTACAACTATAGGACCTCCAGTATATCACATGAATCTCTTTGTAATATAGGCAGAAATAAATTGTGTCCAAATAATTTTCTGGTTTGTGGAATATCCGCCAGCATGCAGTTATACTTCCACTTTTATATGACTGTATTACTCCTTCCTCAAAATATTCAGGTTTGTAACGGTTTGAACAGTATTTCAGTTACATGTAACGCGTGAACGCTTTGAAGGGCAATTCGAAATAAAGAAGGGTTTAAAAGTTCCCCTCTTTGGTAAAACTCACAAGCATGCTAGGATGTGGTGCCAAACTCCTGGTGAACTGGGATTTTAACTAAAATAAGAATTTGCATGAGCGGAATTAATTCTTCATACAAGATGCTTTTCTTAAACCGAAACTAGCCAATTAATTGCTTTATGTTTTGGGTTTTTTTTAGATGCGTGATGGGGTGCTCCAGGTTATGGACATATTGAGTGAGTAGTAGTGTTGAAATATCCGGCCTGAAGACTCACGTGAAAGTTGAATGCACGATTTCCACGAACCCTAACAGGACCCCACAATAGGAATTGGCACAATGATTTCTCCCTTCGTGCAAGCCTACCTCTAATGATAGAAGATCCGTCTGCAAGTTTCACGTGTTTGCATGTACCGGGTGGGAAACACACTACTTGGCCAACATGCTACAAGGTGGGACATTGGTTGCGATCAGAATTTTGTTAATCTGCGAAACTACTCTAAAATCAATCGCAGAATTATGTAAATGTGCTGTCTTGGACATTGCATCATGTCCAGGCCATTTACACAAGAGGAAGGACATTGCCTGTCACTGGCAAAAACGTGATTCGGGTTTGCAGTAGACCAGAGGATTTTGGAGAGTTAAAAGCTTTTGATGGAGCATACATTACACACAGTTATGATTTCAGTTTGTAATGCAGTTGATAGTGTTACTTGTAAAACGACAGGGCTCATTGCTAACAGTATCGATCAATGATGCAGTTGGATCCCATTTCTGTTTTGTGTCTCAATATTTAATCATACCAAGTCAATTGACCTATGATATTGAAAACACACATTTGATCTATTTGAATCTGTAAACTAAATCAACTCAACTTTGCCATTGCTAGAAAATCTAAACAATCACGTAGATAAATATGTACATACAGTTTTTAACTTTAGGCCATAGTATTTCTTATGAAAGAATGAAGTTCTTTTTGTATCCTCAAAACAGTGTCACCCCGCAGTTTGTTTTGGCAACTTAATCACATACAATATAATGATCGCTACTCCCTTGCTGTAATCCATGTTTAGTGATGTAAACCAACACCTACTTCTTTGTCATCATGTACTTCATGCTCAGTTAATTAATTTTTAACAGGAATAATTAGTGGTAACACCACTCAGATTACCTGACAAAGGATCCCCTTTAGCATTTTTCATGTCTGGGATAAATACTCAACTGTATAAATTCAGGTCTGATGTGGCAAATGTGGGTGTGCAGCATGAGGAATTTTTGGTTTAGTTTAAAACAGACATTGATCAAAGGATTAACTGATAACATGTTGACTGATTAATTACTCTTGCACAGCAGAGATCGCAAACCCAATCAAGAATTCTGGGATATCATCCGAGTACTCGCGTGAAAAAACAATAGTAAAAACAACAACCAGTCCCAGGGAATTGCTCTAGATCAGTGTCCCTTTAAGAAGTCTTATATTACAATCATAGGACACTAGTAACTTTACCTGTCTTCAAATCCCCACAGGGCTTATTATGAATGAATGTTTTATGCTGCAGTGAATAACTGAATCTGTGGCAGGCAGAGTAGCAATTGATAACAAGTCCTGAAAAAAACATATAAACTGGACAGGGCTCCATATAATTATTTTGACTCAGGGGTATTTCACTCCTCAAAATTAAAAATGAGGAGTAAAATACCACATGGAAATAAAAGGAGGCGTATTTCACAGGTTGTATACTTTCACAGAGACATAACACTTAAGAGCATTTTTTTTAGCTTTTTTGGTCTGCACTGGCTTATAAGCATATGCAACCACAAGAAATTTGACTTCCAATCAGAAATCGTTTTGTCAGTGACACTATTCCAATCGTGTTTATTCTTAATACAGACTTTAGCTACATTGTCAATTACATGTAAAAAGTTGATAATATCAGACACTAACTTTTCCTTGCTAACTGAAACAGTTTTCCTTTCCAAAACCCGACATTTCTTTTGGTAAGACATTCTTACTGGAGATGACAGGAAATAAATGACAGTGCGCGTTGAGCTATTGTCCATTAAATGTTTTCCTATGCTGGTTAAGGGCCATCACGTAATCTACAGTAGCCCCAATGCTGTATTATTACTAATACGGACCAGAAACATTGTGATAGTAACGCTGTTTAAGTGCTTGCTTGTAAACAAATCGTGCCCCGAATGTAGATTAATTAGAAATATTTGCAGAGATCATTCGGACAATCTTCGCTTCAATACAGACAACCAACACTATTCGAGATCTTAATATCGGATGTGTAGGACTGAAACAATAGTTTGACAGGTTTGGTTCATGCATGCAAACAAAGTCTGACTCGTATTCTGAGAAAGTATATAAATGCATAATTTTCACTCATTGATTGGACATTTTATTCATATATCTGAATTATGAATGCATATTTTATGCAGATACGCATCTTATCTGGAGCCCTGACTGGACCAACAAACCTGCATGGCACAAGTAATTGTCAGAAGTTGTTTTTCAGCATCTGGTATCTTTTTCAGTTGTGGATTTTAATTATTGTAAACAATAAAAGAAGTCAATATTGATGTCCATCTTGAACACCACATGTACATTTATTTGATTATTTGATGATATTTTGTTACACATTTACAGGTATGATGAAAATACACACCTGCATGGTGCGGGCAGTAGGTATCACATTGACCCGGGAACTGGCTACTGGTCAGACAGTTGACAAAGCTCTGCTTAGTAAGCTTAGGAAGAAGACAGGATTTCCACTCATCAACTGTAAGAAGGCCCTTGATCAGTTTGATAATGACTTACAACAGGTTTGTATCTGGCTTACAAGTGCAATTGAGTGTTTCAGATAATTCTCTGAATGTTCAGAATGCATCAGAATTAGATTCTTGCTACTTGTTCTCTATGTCATTTTGTCTAAGTGTCCAAATACACAGTTGTCATAAATGGCCTTTCAGCTTTTGGACCTTCAGTATGTCTTTGTGAAGTACTGATTGCATCTGAATACACCTTACTGTCATACTGCAGATGTGATATGTTATAGAAGAGTGAAAGGCTATGAAAGTAAAACTTGTAACAGATTAAAAGAAGAAGGAAAGAATGTTTTAAGCATTGTTTAGTCCTTGTTAATTAAGATTGAAAGTCTGATTAATGTCAAGCTGTGCGTAGTAAGACTAACATCAAATGTATACTTTGGCCATTCTAAAAACAGGCGGAAAAATGGCTGCTGGAACAAGCACAGAAGGAAGGATGGGCAAAAGCTACCAAGTTGCAGAATCGGCCAATGTCACAGGGACTTGTTGGTGTAGTAGGGGACCAGCGGACAGCCACGATGGTGGAGGTAGGTGACTGGTTGGTGTAGTAGGGGACCAACAGACAGCCACGAAGGTGGAGGTAGGTGACTGGTTGGTGTAGTAGGGGGAAGGAGACAGCCAGGATGGTGGAGGTAGGTGACTGGTTGGTGTAGTAGGGGGAAGGAGACAGCCAGGATGGTGGAGGTAGGTGACTGGTTGTTGTAGTTGAGGGAAGGAGACAGCCAGGATGGTGGAGGTAGGTGACTGGTTGATGTAGTAGGGGGAAGGAGACAGCCAGGATGGTGGAGGTAGGTGACTGGTTGATGTAGTAGGGGGAAGGAGACAGCCAGGATGGTGGAGGTAGGTGACTGGTTGTTGTAGTAGGGGAAGGAGACAGCCAGGATGGTGGAGGTAGGTGACTGGTTGATGTAGTAGGGGAAGGAGACAGCCAGGATGGTGGAGGTAGGTGACTGGTTGATGTAGTAGGGGGAAGGAGACAGCCACGATGGTGGAGGTAGGTGACTGGTTGTTGTGGTTGAGGGAAGGAGACAGCCAGGATGGTGGAGGTAGGTGACTGGTTGATGTAGTAGGGGGAAGGAGACAGCCACGATGGTGGAGGTAGGTGACTGGTTGATGTAGTAGGGGAAGGAGACAGCCAGGATGGTGGAGGTAGGTGACTGGTTGATGTAGTAGGGGGAAGGAGACAGCCAGGATGGTGGAGGTAGGTGACTGGTTGATGTAGTAGGGGAAGGAGACAGCCAGGATGGTGGAGGTAGGTGACTGGTTGATGTAGTAGGGGAAGGAGACAGCCACGATGGTGGAGGTAGGTGACTGGTTGGAGGTGTGGTTGATGTAGTAGGGGGAAGGAGACAGCCAGGATGGTGGAGGTAGGTGACTGGTTGATGTAGTAGGGGGAAGGAGACAGCCACGATGGTGGAGGTAGGTGACTGGTTGTTGTGGTTGAGGGAAGGAGACAGCCAGGATGGTGGAGGTAGGTGACTGGTTGATGTAGTAGGGGGAAGGAGACAGCCACGATGGTGGAGGTAGGTGACTGGTTGTTGTGGTTGAGGGAAGGAGACAGCCAGGATGGTGGAGGTAGGTGACTGGTTGATGTAGTAGGGGGAAGGAGACAGCCAGGATGGTGGAGGTAGGTGACTGGTTGTTGTAGTAGGGGGAAGGAGACAGCCAGGATGGTGGAGGTAGGTGACTGGTTGATGTAGTAGGGGGAAGGAGACAGCCAGGATGGTGGAGGTAGGTGACTGGTTGATGTGGTTGAGGGAAGCAGCAGACTGGTTGGTTGGGTGGTAGTGGGGCACCAGCAGACAGCCATGAAAACAATGTTAGAAAACCTATGTAGACTTTGTTTCGACCATCATTACATAGCTAAGTGTTGATAGCAGTATTGTAAGCTTTGCTCATAACAATACTTACATGATGCATATGTAAAAGTTGGCATTACAGATGTGTGGAACTTGTAATATTGATAAGTGTTTGTAACATATGAAAGCTGTACTACCATTGTGTCTGGTGAAGAACTCTGCAGGGAGAGGGTATGCAATCTGACATTCTTAGAATAATTATATGGCAAGAATACTTATTTCTATATTGTTCTAGGTGAATTGTGAGACTGACTTTGTGGCTCGGAATGAGAAGTTTGTGAAACTGGTCTCCAGCCTGACCATGGCCTGTCAGGACCACTTCCTCAGCCAGACAGACAGGAAGGTAGTGTAGTGCTGCATGCTCGTCATCTTGCTCATCTTACAAAATAATGTCTGAAGAACTACAACTAATATACTGAAATTTTCTTAAATGTAGTAAGGTGATGAAAGTGTTCACAGTAAGTGGGTGCCATGTGTTACTTTCCAGGTAAACCCATGAAGATCTGGGTTAGAATTGATCCTCTCTAACCCTTGCTTGTCGTAAGAGGCGACTAACAGGATCAGGTGGTCAGGCTCACTGACTTGGTTGACACATGTCATCGGATCCCAGTTGGGTAGATTGTTGTTCATGGTATTGATCACTGGATTGACTCACTCACTCACTCACTCACTTTCCAGGTAAGCTTGGAAGGTGCAGCTGTCCAAGGTCTACAGGCAGGAGGTGGTAAAACCCTGGCTGATATGGTGGCGCTTGAGGTGGGAAGTGTCGGAGAAAACATGTCCCTGCGTAGAGCTGTTCACCTTCGGGCTGCAGAGAACAACTTCCTGTCATCCTACGTCCATGTGTCAGGTGGGTGTAGGGACTATGTTGACAATTTCGCCACATCAGATATTCTATCCTGGTAGGAGACAAGATCTGTAAGAACCCATGCAGCAAAGAAGTTAGCTCAGCGGAACACAAGTCACTGTATCCAGGCAAAATGTGGTGGGCTTGTAAACATGCCACTATTTCTGGAAGTCATATTAGCTGCCATTACAAGAATGTCAGTTGTGGGCAGAAATAACTTCTACGTTTGATGCACTTCACACAATGACATGATGTATACGTTACCACTTACCGACCGATTATCTTAAATCTTTCACAGAGTGACCCAGATAGCATTCAGACGTTGGCCCAACGTTGACAATGGTTTTGCCAACATTGCCAACGTTGGGCCAATGTCTGAATGCTATCTGGGGAGGTATTCAGTATTATTTTTCCTTATCCTGACTCATGTTTATTTGCTTGTCTTCTTCTTCTGGCGAACCTAGTGGAACACTTGTATCTCCCAATTGAAGTTCCTTCAATAAAAATCACTCATTAGTACTGACCACGAGTTACCTCCCTTCCACAAGCGGGGAGCGAGAGCCACCTGAACCCATGTGCCTCACTCTCTCCTTCTTAGCCCAGTGAGCAAGGCGGTGAGAGCACCTGTGTCTCCCTGCACACTATATCCTTTATTTATATTTAGTTTGTTACCTCTTATATTCATCTATAGAGGTGTAACTAGTATCATTATTCAACATGCATTGATAATTATTAGTGTTTCTGCTGCTTGATTCACGGTTAGCCGTGTTGCTCAACAGTTTGCGTTAATAAAATCTGCACTGTTTGTAAATTACGTTACTCTGCTACCGATCCACATTTAAAATGCCCTAGTTGCATTACTCCATGTTCTATTGTTTCTCGTTGTAAATTATATATTAATTTACCAATTTCTGCCTTTGATAAATATTTATGTTCCGTTTTGAGGCGGAAGGCAGATAAATCTCGGAAACAATCTTCAGTCATGGCTAATAGATCGAGTCAGATATATCCTGAGTTACCTTCGGGGGATAAGCGTGGGGCCTTGATCCGCTATATCTAGAAGCGACCTGCTTCCCAGGGCGTTCCTTCATCACAGTATAAAACTAGAAGAACTTCCACGTCGTCTCAGCGTATGCTCCGAGCCCCAGGTCTACAGCCTCGTCAAAGGGAAATCCACGAAGACTAAAAAAAAACTTTGCTTCTGATATTCAGAATTATGTTTATATGATGATGACATTTTCGATTATCATTCCAGATGTATGTCATAAGAAGTGACCAATGCGGCTACCGTCACTTCAGCGCAGATCAACATGCAATCAGAGATGCCCTACGCTGGGCCCGGAGATTATAACTGAGGGTCCGTCACTATCACAGAGGACACCCTCAGCGCCAGCGCAGACCATCCCAGGCGACCTGGTCAACCAAATCATGAGGCTGATGGAAGACCGTTCACGGCTTACAGAGGCCTCAGAGCCACGAGGCCCCAGAGCCCACCCCATACTAAGTCATACAGGGCCCCAGAGCCGCCTTGACTTCAGCGTAGAGCCCCTGAGCCCATAGGCAGCCTCAGCGAAGAACAACCCTGCCGGGTGAGCTCTTTGCATAAGGTATCCCAGGCGCCTCGAGGAGGAGCTAGAGCCTGACCCTTTGCAAGAGGCCCGGAGAAGAGTGCTTAAGCCTATGCGCACCTTGTCGTATGCGAAGAGGCGTTAGCAAAGCAAGCACTCATATGTCGGATCGGACACTGACTCCAGACATTGGCGCCAAGGCAGCGAAGGCTAAGTGGTTCTAGCGCCTAGAAGGCGTTGGCGCAGCCCTCAGCGTTCGAGAAGCCCAGGCGTCTGCGAAGCCATCACCGTTCTCGAAGCCCACAGTTTCTTGAAGGATGTCTTCTCAAGGTCTACATACACTAGCCAATCGTCAGTCCGTTCTCCTCAGTCCTCACATAGATCTTCTTACAGATCGAGGGTCTCCGACATCACGACCATCGTCAGAGGAAGGCGATGGTATCATTTAAGATCGGACTCTAGACGCCCGCTAAGGAAGTCCCAGGGCGCCTCAGCGAGAAGAGCTACAGCCTCACCAGTTGAGGGACATCGGCGGGAAGGGCTTAGCCGAGCCCACACCCTGTAGAACACAGAGGTGGATTAAGCGAAGCAAAGCTCATATATTGATCGGACTCTGACTCGATACTTTTCGCGAAGGTCGCGAAGGCGAAGGCTAAGTGGCTCAAGTCTACTTCACCCAGAAGATCTAGAAGCGTTGCCGAGATCTTAGCGAATCCAGTTAGCCGAGGAAGTCTCCTCAAAGGTCTCCATATACTAGCCACTTTCGTCATATATAGCCACTTTCGTCAGTCCGTTCAAGACATCACATGAGTTGTTTATCAACTGTAAGCCATATGCGTCTACAAGCCTCTGCGAAGACAATTGCACAGGCTATTTACAACACACAGCGTCGCTGTATTAATTTATCAGCGGATGAAGAGCCTAATTAGGGATCTTCAAGCCGACTACCTACTACGATCACGATTATCTACATGCGTGACCATTACGCAGATCTGCAGACAATTCAAAGCGAAATTGAACAGCAGTCTTGTTACAGCGAGTAAAACTCATAATCGTCAGCGATTTCCTCAGAAGTAATATGTACAACAAGTTCAGCTTTAACAGTCTACAAGCTGACAACTTGCAAGGTTATTGAACCTTATATAAGGAAGTCGGAATTATCTTCAAGACTGAAGTTACTTTCCGCGACAGCCTGGAAAATAACTTACCCAGCATTAATATTACAGGCGAGGTATTTGGGCGGAGGTTTTTGGCGTTTACCATCAACCCTCGAAACGCGTGGTCACTTTCGGGTAACCGGGGAAGTTACGGTGAAGACCGGCGATTGTTCTAATATCAGCAGCGGCACTATATTATACAAGGTTCCTTTCCTGATACACGGTGGCGTCACAGCGGGTACTCTACAGAATCAAAATGCCTTGTTCTGATTGGACCGAGATGGACAGCGCCCTCGAGAAGTCGATCATAGTTCACAGTTCAACACATAGGTTGCAAGTGACAACAATATATCAGTGAGCGAGCAAGCCTCCTTACAGTCCAGCTAATCTAAACCTTCATGATTGGGCTGCCTTCTTGAGGTTAGAGACCTCCCCTGTCAAGTAAGGGCGAGGACCACGGCAGTCAGGCGATTTTTTACATAAAGTTCAGCGATGGCAGTCACCCTGGTTATGCATCTACATCGTCAAACGCCATGGCGAATTTACCTCGGCGACCCGGGATACAAATGGATCCAAATCCATAGCGTCTCAGACTACAGTTGAATTCATCATCAAGCTACTAACACAACTAGATGGTTAGTAAACCTACTTAAGTTGGACCTAGAACCTTCGCAAGATCTGCTATTTCTAGGTTTTGATTTTAGCAGTAGCAGAATCGTATAATTGTACGGAGGACCATGGATCAAGATCAACAGTCATTTCCACAAGCCTTACTATCTCCGCTACCACTCGACAGTGACAGAGTCTGTTGGGGTTCGCACTTCAGCTCAGCTCAAGACATGACAGACAGAGGCAGACTACAATTACATCCGTTACAAGTCATCAGCAATTAGCATCTAGGCGAATCTCTACCGTTCAATTCATCGGTTCAGGTCAAACCTCATCTACTATGATGCACCAAGAGATCGAATGTTTGAATAAGCGTCCGTTAATAGAGCTGGAATCGATAACACTTCTCTCGTAGATGTGTCACTATAAGGTTAGGGAGCCCATCTTGCCAACAGGGCGGCATCAGGGCTATGAGCAATCAAGAGAGCAATTACACATAAATCTGCTAGAGATGCAAGCAGTAATAAGCGCCTTAATACACTGGAGCAACTTACTACAGTATACCCAGTGGATGATTCACACAGTCAATTCGACAGTGGCGTTTTATGTGAACAAACTAAAGCTCAACCAGGTCCCGAACATATCGACTCTGTTTTCAATTGTTCGATTTAATCAACAATCTCAACATACATGTCAGAGCATATCACATTCCAGGAGCAAAGAATGTGATAGCAGGGCGCTCTCTCGACCACACATACCATCGCCGACAGAATGAATGCTCCATACAGAGATATTCACTCAAATTATCAAGGAAATAGGAACTACACTAATAGACCTATTTACCATTCGATTCAACAAACAACTGACAACATTAAGTATCGCCAGTTCCAGACCCACTAGCATTGGCAACAGGCGCTAAGCATATGGTGGGAAGGTCTCAGCAGCGTGCGGCTTTTTCGCCACCAGCGTTAATCTCACAAGTTTACTCTAAATCAGTCTAAAGCAGAGCCTCCATCTGATTTTGGTCGCGACCTACTGACCAGCGAGGAAGTGGTTTCCAACTCTTATTCAAGAAATCGGACAACCAATACTACATCTTACAGAGTGCTTTCGAATCTGTTAATACACCAAACAATGGAAAGCCAGATATATTCCAACTTCGCGTATGGATTGTATCAAGGCGTGTCTGAATAACAAGTTATTCAGCCAGGCGGACAAAGCAGTCTAACTTGCCCTGCGTAACTCAACTGGCAACTTATCACGATGACAAATGGCACAGTTTTGTCAATTATGCTGCAAAGGAAGGATTTACAGCTAGATATGCTACTCATCCTCAAGTGGCGGACTACTTATGTTATCTACGTCAGACTAAGATTTTATAAGGCTCAGCTTGTCCACCTATCTTGCAGCAATAGCTCTATCATAACTGAGAAGGGCGTCAAGTTAACCTAACCCAGTTACTTTCGCCTGCTACGAGCTTTCGATTGGAGGATTAAAGCGGAAGTTCAGCTCCAACTTGGGATCTGAATATAGTGCTCCAACACCTCACAAGTGAGGTTTATGAACACGCTTTGATGATATACTTGAACCCCATGATCGATGAATCTATCACGATGGCCAGTAACAGCACTGAAAATATATCTCCACCGAGCCAAACAGGAGGGAAAAATGCAAGAGATTTATTTCCTCTATCAAGCTACGCATGAGCGGAAGTCTCACGTACTACTATATCTCCTTTTGGATCAGAACTGTCATACTACGTGCCTACAAGACTGTAGGACTCTACCCTCCATGAGCTTCTAATCCTCATAATATTAGGCTAACATCTCCAATTGCTCTACACAAATGCTTTTGGAATAATGGAGGTTATTTCTGGAGATCGATATGGTGTTTGCCAACCACTATCTGAGAGATATCACCACCGAGGGCGTCTCAGGTATCCACCTATTAGGTCCCATGGTCCTCGCACAACAGTTGACAGTTCCTCGGAGAAGATAAGTCCATCTTACAGAATTTTTACTTATCTTATAACAGTACTAAATAGCTACATGCTATATATATTTTGCTTAAGTTCAATTTATTATCTTAAGCTCAGTACTATGGTTATTATATCATACAATATGTAAGCTAACAACTCTCACGGAGTTTGTTATTATATATTTAGCTTAAGTTAATCATATCTTAAGCTCAGTACTATGGTTACATTATAAATATATTAGCTAACAAACTCTCACGGAGTTTTGCTATTATATATGTAGCTTAAGTTTATTCATATCTTAAGCTCATTACTATGTTTATATCATATAAGTATATTAGCTAACAAACTCTAAAGAGTTTTTGCTATCATATACTTAGCTTCAGTTTCATCATATCTTAAGCATTATGGTTACATTATAACATGTATTAGCTAACAACTCTCACGGAGTTTTGCTATTATATATGTAGCTTAAGTTTATTCATATCTTAAAGCTCAGTACTGTGTTTATATCATATAAGTATATTAGCTAACAAACTCTAAAGAGTTTTTTACTATCATATACTTAGCTTAAGTTTCATCATATTTTAAGCATTATGGTTACATTATAAAATGTAATAGCTAACAAACTCTACGGAGTTGTTTTGGCTATTTAGGTTGCTTAAGTTAATTATATCTTAAGCACAGTTCTATAATCATACTATATATATGCCTACAACTCTTAGGAGTTCTACTATTATATATATGTTCAGCTTAAGTTTCAATCCTTAAGCTCAGTCATATGTTCATTTCATAACATGTATTAGTTAACAAACTCTCAGTAGTTGGTTACTATTATACAGCTTAAAGTATCATTATACCTTAAGCACAATTCTGTTATAACTTACATATATGCATATTGTAAGCTTACTACTTTGGTTCTTATAAAAGTATTCATTATAAACTATCAACAGTTTATACTATCACATTAATAGCTTTAGCTTAATTAATGTTCTATATACTTTATTATATTCAGTAAATTGTAATAACCCTTATATGGCAACTGATAAGTTAACAGCAGGAATTCAGTTCAGTGCCTTCATGAAGTTCCCTTAGGGTTATTACAATTATCTCAGTTCAAATCACTAATTAGTAAAATCCAAAGTATATATAATCCCACCTCCTATTCCGTAGGATTCTACAAACAAATAAACATGAGTCAGGATAAGAAAAATATGAAATTTTTAGAGTAAAATTAATATTTTTATACTTATCCTGACTCATGAATAAGCTCCCTCCGTCCTCCCACTTAACACTTTGGATTTCCCTGGAAATTCAGGTGTTGAGCTCAGTATATGAGGAGAGAGTGAGGCACATGGGTTCAGGTGAAGCCCTCGTTCAGCAGCTTGTGGAAGGGAGGTAACTTCGTGGTCAGTACTAATGAGTGATTTTTATTGAAGGGAACTTCAATTGGGAGATACAAGTGTTCCACTAGGTTAAGCCAGAAGAAGAAGACAAGCAAATAAACATGAGTCAGGATAAGTATAAAAATATTAATTTTACTCTAAAAATTTCATTTTCTTGTGAAAATATGACTTAATTTATAACCCTGGTGTTACAGGAATGTCACTAGGGCTGGTTGGGGTTTAAGGTTCTTCTATTCCTTCAGAGAACATGTGACCGGTCAGTTTGGAATTGCCACTAGTTTACCATAGTACACATTGTTTCCTGAATTTAGCTGGAATATTGCTGACTGCCATTAAATATTACTCTCCCATTAATCTTACAAGTCCATCTTTCCTTTGCAGGTGCTGAAATCAACACGAACAGTGAATGTAGGCTGGGCAAGTTTGGAAGCTTGTTGGAGCTGCAAGCCCTGCCAGTGGTGTCGGAGGAATCCCCCGACTCTGCAAGTTCTTCTGACTCTGACTCTGATTCCTCTTCAAGTGATGAGGAAGAGGCTTCCCTGACCCGAGAGGAGGCATGTCGACAACTGGCCCTGCATGTGGTGGGCATGAATCCCAGACGCATCGGCAAGGAAGACGATGAGCCCAGCAAGAGCAAGGATGAGGAAGACAAATTGATTTTCCAGGAGTTCTTGATGGACCCGAGCTTGTCGGTGAAGGACATGTTGAAGAAGAATCATTTGGCTATAAAGGAGTTTGTGAGGTTTGAGTGTGGTGAGGACTTGGGAGAAGACGCCAGCTGAAGATAGGATTGTACAGTGTCATGTCATATTCAGTGTACAGGATGGCTGCACAGGAGCATTGTTGTATTGTGTGTGCCCTGAACCTGCTATCAGATTTTGTAGATTTTATTAGCCAAATATGTGCTTAACACGGTGTTGATAGTGATAAAAGTTTGGTTTTAGTTCAAAAGGTGTATGGGCACTTTTTGCCTTGCTTCTATCTGTTAAAATATCTCAAGAATCAGGAGTTTGGGCATTTTCTACACTTCCATGGAAAGCACATAGGTTATGAAGCTTTATATGCTTGAGGACTAAAGCTTCCTATGCACTATTAAAAGAATCCCATTTGTACAAAATCTCCATGAATTTTTCAGAATCGTGCATTATAATCACATGTACAAAAACTGTGTCATGGGTCAATTCATTTACAGAGTTTATTGTTGAAGTGTGGTAAATCAACATTATTGACGGCCAAACATGGTAAACCTTATGCCATGCCTATCTGAAACTGAGTGGTTTGTATGTAGTTGGAATGCTTGAAAATTGTTAGTGTAATACCACTGGTGACAACTTGCAACACTTGGCACCAGCCACATTTTAAAACTTATCCTATCTCACGACTTGCACCTCTCTTCATTCGACCATGAGTGGAAACGAATTAGACTTTGCTCCGGCCTACCTTGTCCCCATCCCCGTGCTGTGCATGCCTTCATGCGCAGTCCTCACCCACGTGATCACCTTACATACTCTTTCTCTTTCTTGTCGCTCGACAGAGTGGATGTGAAATTTGTTTCGCCTGAGAATTGCTCAACATGGATAAGCCTGTTCAGGCCAGAAAACGAAAGTTTTGAGCTCAGTGTAATAAAGTCTTTTCAGCTTGGGACCCACACACATCGTGTGTTGATTTTGTGGGTTGTTGTGATTGGGACAAACGTTGTCCTAAGTGATACGACACTCGTGTAGTATGCACCTACCCATACGTTGACCACGTGGGTAATTGTGATTGGGACAAACGTTGTCCTAAGTGTTCAGGACTGTCTAATGTGGATTTTAAAGCTTACAAACGTGCTTGTGCCAGACGTTTGGCAGATAGGGCCAGGAATGCTTCTGTGGGATCTGGTCCATCTCCCGCTAAAAAACAATGTTTAGATCGCCCCACCCTAACGTTCGCAATGTTTACATTCCCACAATGCATTTAAGTTGTAGGATGAATGAATTCACGTGTTTGTTATGCATGAAAAATCAGTTTTGTCACAACGTGACCTAATTGAGAGGTCATCGGTTATCCAATCAAATCGTTAGAATCTCAGGTCAAGTCGTTACGACACAGGTCAATGCGATACGACACTCGTGTGACGTACGAGATTAGTATGCACCTACCCATACGTTGACCACGTGGGTTGTTGTGATTGGGACAAACGTTGTCCTAAGTGTTCAGGACTGTCTAATGTGGATTTTAAAGCTTACAAACGTGCTTGTGCCAGACATTTGGCAGATAGGGCCAGGAATGCTTCTGTGGGATCTGGTCCATCTCCCGCTAAAAAACAATGTTTAGATCGCCCCACCCTAACTGCTTGCCGTTATAAATCTCCCATCTCTCCTGACAAAGATTTGATGGACGCTTCGTCTGAATCCTATTTGTCTGAGAATGTTAGAAGACTTTTTGGGACGCTTCCCTCACCTAGCTCAAGTTCTCATGGGCATGCAAGGGTGGTAAATAGAGAATATCACACTCGGTCTCATTACATACGAATTATACGAAACAAGTGTCCTTCCTATGGTATCTGACCGAGCGAAAGCGAGGTCAGAAACGATAGGAAGGTCACGAGTTTCATATAATTCATATGTTATGAGACCGAGTGTGGTATTTTAATTATTACCCACATCTTACATGCTTTAAATTGACAAAATAGCGCATTTTTGTTATTTTTATGGTTTCAAACCGAAACCGGTTTCATAAAGAGGTTGCGGAAGAATGTTGTTCTGTAGTACACTTTTTGCATGACGTCACACTGTACAAAATGACGTCACTACGCCTTGCTCGTCTGTCCCCTTAGTAACCGACGTCACGATGCATGTCAGTTGTCATCGCCTCGTACAGCCTCCTATATTAAACTACTCCGTAGCACCCCGTCTCTTAGTTTGCAGTTGCTTCATTCGGCTAACATCCCTGGTGGAAACATTGTGTTTATGTTTTTCGACGCATATAATGCCTCAGTTCAACTCACAATTAAACAGCGACACGGCAACGTTCGCAATGTTTACATTCCCACAATGCATTTAAGTTGTAGGATGAATGAATTCACGTGTTTGTTATGCATGAAAAATCAGTTTTGTCACAACGTGACCTAATTGAGAGGTCATCGGTTATCCAATCAAATCGTTAGAATCTCAGGTCAAGTCGTTACAACACAGGTCAATGCGATACGACACTCGTGTGACGTACGAGATTAGTATGCACCTACCCATACGTTGACCACGTGGGTAATAATGACTGCTATTTCCTCTACACAAGACCTGCGATCTACTTTATCTCGTAGATCCGTTTCATCGGACTGTTCACAGTCCTCGAAAACTTCTAAATTCCAAGCATTCATCATCGAAGCGTGGATCGGCACGGTTGGAACGCAACCGTTCTCCTATTCGTACGGTTTCATCCCACCGAAACAATTCACCCACACAAGTTGAGTCACCATCTGGTTCGTAGGTTCGAATTCGTTCTTCTACTGCTGGAAAGTGTCGTTCTAGATCTCGTTCACGCTCAAGCTCTCGTCGTCCTTCCATTGTACCAGTCCGAACCGATTCACCACCTCGATTCATTTCACCATTCAGAATTGGGTCTAATGCCAGTGTTGGTTCACTAGAACGGAACCATTCACCTAGCCGTGTCATTGCCAAGGGTCAAACAAGTTCACTCAGCCGTTCGGCTCACCAGACCGAATTGATTCACGTAATCGAATGGATTCACCAGGACGAACCGGTTTACATTCCCGACTCAATTCACCTCACGATATGTTTTGGCTCGACTCCCCATCTCATAGTCGAATCAATTCACCACAGCGTTTTGATTCACATAGTCAAAGTGGTTCGCCATTTCGATCCGGTTCACCTAGCCGTATGGTGTCTTTTCATCAGAGTGATTCTCGTAGTCGGTCTCATTCACCTCAGGTGAATCAGGATATCCCGTTTAGTCAGTCTGGAGCTAGTGCGCACTTGCGGTCTGCGCCTTTACGTGATAGTTCCCCTCATCAACATCTTTCTGTGCGGGTGATTTCACCTGCTAGGCAGCTTTATGGTTCAGTGGTTTGTTCACCTTCACGCCATGCCACTTCTACTTTGCCTCGGTCACAGGTTATTGCTGAGTCTTGGAATCCTGCGCTTGATCCCTCTCCAGCGCCGGATTTAAACACCATACGTCGTGCTGTTACATCGGTTTGGAATCAGTGTCATTTGTCCTCTCAAGTTCAACAATCGTCTACCATACCTAGCAATAATCGTCCTGTGGATTCGAGGGATCTGACTCGGTCTCAGACTCCTTTACCTTCACCTGGGCAGTCAGACATCTCGACTCCAGATGGCAGTTTTGATGTTGTTGAACCGGCTCACATGCTAGCTTGGATAGTTGAAACACTTCAGCTACCTCTTAGTAAATCTCCAGATGATTTGGCCAGGTCTTATGCCATGACAAATAGAGATATTTCCAGTATCACACTTCCTTTGCGTCCATGTATTCAACAATTACTTTCTTCTCTTGATGCGGCTTTCAAGAAGCTTAGGAGGACGAAGGATGGTTTGTCAGCTCCAAGGTTCCGACCATCGACGGCACATACTCATGGTGTTCATGGTGTTTTTTGTGGATGACAGGGAATTGGCTCATCTAGATGCTGCGATTTGGCATTCTATCCCTTCCATTAGTTGTATCATTTTGGCTGTTGACGCTGTGGACGGCGGCTGTCAATCATGGTGTTTTTTGTGGATGACAGGGAATTGGCTCATCTAGATGCTGCGATTTGGCATTCTATCCCTTCCATTAGTTGTATCATTTTGGCTGTTGACGCTGTGGCGGCGGCTGTCAATCATGCCTATACAGACCAGGATGCGTACTTTAGGGGAAGTATGGCTCTGATGTTAGATCAATTCCAGGTGGTCTTGGGGCAACTTTCTCATTTCTTTGGCTATCTACTTGCCATACGGTGTCGGGGCCCTTTGAATTTATCCTCATGGGAAGATAGATTCAAGGCTGAATGGTTTCGTCAACCGTGGTCGGGGGATACGGTGTTCAGTGGGTCTATTGCAGAAGTCGCATCCAAAGTGGACCGTTTTAATCAGTTTCAAGTATCTGTAGATCTGTTGGAGTTGCAAAAAATTCAACTTCAACGCTCTATGCGGCACCGTCGAACCCCACATTTTACCCCTTCCAATCCAGACCTTCGTGACTGTTTGAAAGACAAGGCGTCTTCTCAACCACGTTGCCCCTTTAGACTCAACGCTGGAACCGGAAGTAAAAACTCCAAACAGTGACTCGCGGAAATCAGAGCTCGGATTGGTTCTGTAAGCGGGAGGTTAGGTCTGTTTGCTCCCAACTGGGAGTTTCTAGGGGATACATTTGTCACAATGACTCTCATTCACGGCTATCGAATGCCTGTTGTCGGGGAACCACCCCTCACCATTCAACCTTTGCAGCGAACGTATCCTCAGGATCAGGCTACAGTCCTTCCGACCACAATCTCAACTCTACTGGAGAAACATGTGGTAGAACGCCTCGATCCGGTGTGCATAACTCGAGGGTTTTACTCCCCGATTTTTCTTGTGCCAAAGAAGAACTCAAGCAAGCTGCGTCTCATATTCAATATGAAGGCGTTCAACACTCGTTTCCTTCAACCGCCACCTCGTTTTTGAATGGTATCAGTCAGTCTTCTACGTTCAATTCTGAGGAAAGGGGATTTCATCATATCCCTCGATCTTCAAGACGCATACCTTCACATTCCGATTCACCCAGATCATCGGAAGTAGCTGAGGTTCACCTTCGAGGGCCATCACTTCCAATGGAAAGTCCTTCCATTTGGAATCTCTACGGCCCCGTGGCTTTTTACTGAGGTGACCAAACCCATCAGCAGTTTCCTTCACTCTCGGGGAGTGACTTTCGAAAGCTATATAGACGATTGTATTCAGGCACAACAGGATCCAATCGTTCTTCAAATTCATCGAGAGATCACCATCAAGCTGCTCAAACAGTTAGGGTGGCTCCTCAATTAAGAGAAGTCGCAGTTAACACCGACTCACAGACTTCAGTTCATAGGAGCAGTTTTCGACACAAAACAAGCCATGTTGTTTGTTCCCTAGGACAGGTGGACCAAAATTCAGCGTCTGGTTGCTCTAGCCTTGGATCAACCTAGAACTTTAC